GGTGCTTAGGAAGCGCCTCGTTCTTAGGGCCTTCCTGGAATAATTGCTCGTATTCCTTGTACTCCACCGGTATACTCGTCGGTGAGGATGCCTGGGCTAGGTCATCGAGCTCGGAGGTTGCACATAACTCCTTCCGGCCCTGGGAGGGTTTCTCCCGTTGTCGCGTGTCCGTCCGTTGTTCACACGCGCACTGGCTCATCACAACTTTCTCGTTCCACCAGTCGATCTGGGGGTTGTGTTTCTTGAGCCATGGCACACCAAGGATGCACGCATGGTTGTCCATGTGCACGATGTCAAACTGAATCGTTTCCTTGTGCCCGTGTAGCATGACCATTTCCAATGGGACCGTTTCGTGGGTCACCATTCCTTCATTAGTCGAGATGGGCTCTCCATCTACGACCATTAACGGGTATGGTTCAGTTTTCAATTGTGTCTTGAAACCTTGCGTGTCTGCTACTTTCTTTGTCATAAAGTTGCCCGTCGCTCCTGAGTCAATCATTGCTCGGAGGTGTCGCTGTTGTATCTTAGCGACCACATATAGTTGCATGCTGCCCGTCGTGGCGCATAGCTGGTCTGTACTAGGCCTCTTCGTGTCGCTCGCCGGTGGCCTACCGTCAAGGACTCCTAGTTTTTTGACTCGTCCGAGGAAGGATAGTATTCATCCGCTTCCAATGGTGGTCCTTGGGGAGATCGTTTCCCTCGCTCTTCTGCTTTGTCTAGCAGATGTGGGTATTTCTCGTATACCTGTTCGCTTTTGATAGGCAAGTCCCCTTCAGACTGGCTTCGCCTGAGGGCGTGAACTTGCTCTGCGTCTCTGAAGTGTATCCTGGGCGAGGATCGGGGAAACAACTGATTCTGGTGTTTCTTTTTCCAGTGGAGCTTGCAGTCATCTTTGCTGCAATACTCCCAGTAGACATACGCGTGCCAGGGATGATCAGTCTCTGTTGCGTCTGTCGTTGATAGTTCCCGCTGTCCTCTCACCCATGCACTATCTTCCCTCGGAGGCGTGGAGAACGTGTCTAGTTGCTCCATGGCTCTCCGCTCTCGTCTTCTGGGGTGCTTTCGCCGTTTATTCCCCAGTCCTGTTTGCTCACAAACGTTGCGTTCAACTGTCCTGTCCCCGAGGCGTTGTAACTTCCCCGGCCTTGCCAGGTAGCATTGAGTTGTTTGCCGACTTTGCATCCGCCGTTCCCTTTCTTTGGCTGTCTGCAGTCTCGGGCCATGTGGCCTGGCTTGTCGCAGTTAAAACAGAGTCGTTCCTTGAATTGTCTGTCTTTCTTAGGGTCACGGGGTCGTCCAGGTTTGAACGTGGCATCGAGTTCCATTGGGTCCGACCAACGGTTGTCTCGCGGGTGTTGATCCCGTCGTCTGCCCTCGTTTCCCCGGTAGGGGTAACTTTTCTTGGGCTTGTCATAGGTCCGACGTTCCTTCTGGAATTCGTATAGTCGATTGTCGATTCGGACCGTATGTTCGATTAGCGCTACCATGTCCGTTGGTTGTTGTTCCAAACGGGCAAGTTCCATACGTATATGGCTCTTCAGCCCACGTCGGTAGTGGCTGATGAGTGCGCTGGCGTCCCATCCTGTCTGATTGCCGTATCTCTGGAATTCTGTGGAGTATGTGAGGGCGCTGCCAGTCTGCTTAAGTGCAAACAGATGGTCTTCTGCGGTCTTAATCTCATCGATGTCTCCGAACATGCGTCGGATTTCCTTACAGAATCCTTTCCAGCTGCCAAACATAGTCTGCGTAGTTGCCATGCTTCCATTGGTACTTTCATATTTGAAATAATCCATGAGGAATGGTTCGACCCATCGCAGGGCTTCCCCCCTAAGGTAGGACGCAGTCCACAGGGCATAGTTCTCCTGGGTGGGAAACTTCTCGTCATTGAAGTGCTGGTACAGTTCGACCTGTAGTAAAAACACCTCAAGTTCCTTTCGGTTGCCGGAGTAAGTGTCGGGCAACTTGACGCGTAGAGTTTCCTTGAGTTCGTTGACGGTGGGTGCGTCGGGCATCTCTTCATTCTCAGGCTTAGACCTCTGAGACAAAGTTGGCGTGGTGGGGGTTTTCCCCTTCAAACTGACGACAGACATGTTGCTTTGTGTATGAGCCAGTGCCTCGTAGAAGTGGTGCTCAAAGTGTAACGCTGACTTCTAAACGATAGAAGACACAGAGGTTCTCTTGCGTAAAGGTTTACTTATCAGAGGAGGCAGGGGATCGGACACAAAGGCTTCACGTAACACGTTACTAGTATATAACAAATACTGTATTGAGTTGAGCACGAAGCTCCTATCTAAGGAAATACTATCTACTTATATAGTGGCGTCGTGCCTCATGGGTAATCTGGATAGTTGGCGGATAGCTAGATATTCAGGATAGTTCGTGGATAGCTCAACTATCCAATATCCACTAGTTTCTGCAACTATCCATTAGCCCCGTCACATGGCAGCCTACCCCGCTTCCCACTGTGACTCACACGTCACGTTATGTGACTCACACGTCACGTTACTAGGCCCTGGCCCTGTAACCATGACATCATGTTACTATAGCCGTAACATTTGCAGTATATCCAAACTTCTTTGACTCAAAGTCACAGTCCATAAGGTATAAATTGCTCCGGCCTTCTGCCCAAAAGGCCCGCCAAACCATGATCTTCATGTTCTTCTTTGTACTGTAGGTTTGGATCATCTCCCGCTGCCACTTCTGAGCAGGTGTGCGGAAACACCACTCGCTCCTGTTACCCCCCCCGGCTCAACAGAGCACTCATCACTCCACACAACTTGACCCCAATCCTCTGCTGTCCAATTCCTCCATGCTAAACACCATGCAAGCCGTTTAGCTGCATGTATTGGCAGTAGGAAAGGGCGACACTTTGCACGCCAATTGCCTATGCCTGCTTCTTGTAGTATCCTCTTTATAGTTGATGTTGAGCAAGCAACATTACAAGCATCCTTTACTTCTTGGTATGTATCCTTTGGGTTTAGGCCTACGTGGCGGAGTATAAGGCGTTGCTCTGCTTCTGTATATGACTTTCCCCGTGGTGTATGGGGTAGGCTCTTGCCTTCGGTGCATATTGAGTCAACTGCAATTGTATATCATACGGTGCTTCGGTCAAGGTTTAGGTCGTGTGCAATCTTAGTAGGTGTTGCACCCTCTGACTGCCTCCCAATAATCTGCCCGCGTTGGTATGGGCTTAATTGGCCACCAGGCTGTCGATTCCCATCAATTGGAGCCAAATCCCTCCAAGTTGGTGGCATAAGTATGGTTGTTGTCCAAGGAGGGGTGGGTTATGTGACGCGATTTGCGCGTTAAATTGGAATTCGGTTAATAGCAGTGGTCTAGTACTGTACACCATAGGGCCTTTGGTGATACAAGTCTAATCTACTAAATACAAGAGGAATAGCAAAGCTGCTATAGCACACACTGCTAAAGAAAAAGCTAAGATGGCTAACTGAAACCTAGAAGACTATAAGTCTATAAACGAAAAAACAACCTTAGTAGATGAGTCTAAGAAGAGAGATGAACTTCAAGATGGCTTCCTTAAAGCCTAAGAAGATTTTAAGAAGATAGGCAAAACAGCTTAGGAAAGACGCTAGTCTATTGTTACGGCCACAGTAACGTTACGTTAGTTATAGGGCTAGCAGGGCTAGGCTTAGTAACGTGACCTTAGAAGTCACAAGGCTAGCTAGGCTAGGCTGTTGTTGACTAGGCTAGTGAATAGTTGTAGAAACTAGTGGATATTAGATAGTTAAGCTATCTATCAACTATCTAGATTATCTAGCTATCTATTAACTATCTAGATTATTAATGAGGCACGATGCTACTATATAAGTAGATAGTATTCCCTTAGATAGGAGCTTCGTACTCAACTTAATATAGTATTATTTACAATACTATAACATGTTACTTAGAAAGCCTTTGTGTTTAATCCCCTGCCTCCTCTGTTAAGTCAACCTTATGTAAGAAACCTCTGTCTTCTATCGTTTAGAAGTTAGCGTTATACATCCATTTAGAAAGTCTAAGATCTCATGAACATAGAGCCACCTAGCAAAGTCTACATAGTGTGCTTGAACTTCGACCCATTCCTAGCCTTTAAAAAAAGCAATACGGATCAGCACAAACTCTAGGCTGACAAAGAGTATAAAAATTTCCAGCGGAAAACCATTCGGGAATATAACCATCGAAAAGTCGAAATATTTACTTGATGCTGCGAAAGGCGGCTGCGTTTATTGCACGCACTATGGTTCAATTAGCACTCGGGGCTGTATCCCTTGGGTGGGAGACCGAAGGGATATACTTTCTAATTGCGCCGACCACGAGTGGCCGGAGACCCCTTGGTCAAAACCTTGCCAGACGGAATGACACCGGCATTTTAGGGAAGAAGGAGTAAAGAATATCGTTCTTTCAGCGAGGAGGCATTCCTGCCAGATCCATGACCGAGTGGACACCTTGCCATAGTCGCCTCCTGTGTCCTCCTTTTCTAAAGGAAGTCATCGCCGCCGACAGTGAAGCTTCAAAGCCCCAATTCCATTAACAGTCAAGTTGACGCTGGAAGTAGACCATTTCTTATCTCGTTCCACCATGATACGGTCCTGTTCAGAACTAGCAGAAGCGGCTGCTATGGTCACAGTGGCATCCCCGTAAATCTCTCCCATTTTTGGGGCCTGCGTTTTAAAATCGGCATCGTCTCCTTGAATAATGCACAACCGATCAACCCTGATGTATTGAATTCCAAGCGCACGAGGCGGTAAGTCATCGAGGCGTATGCCAACTTTCCTAGCCTCATAAGTGGATGGGTCTGTCAGATTATCTAAGCTCACAGATTCCAAGCAATAACTGACTGCAAGATACACGGCACGGACTCCTTTCGGCTCTATGAGCTGAATACGACTTGGAATGTTAGCTTCGGTCCAAATGATGCGATCAGGAAGGAAAGGCAAAGATTCCGTGCTAGTAGTTAAGTAACGCGCTTACATTCTCGCTCCTTTTAGTAATCACACCACCCTTTCCCGTCTACATCTATCCTCTAAACCATCAACTCGGTCGACATTACTTCTACTTCTCATAAGTAGAAGTAATGTCGACCTCATTTGATGCAGTTGCAAGTAGCAGCGATGGCTTCACATCAACTTCACCGCAATCGCCTTCTGGTGAAACGAAAGCTACCATAATGTCACCAACACCTCATGAAAACCCCCGATCCATCGGAGCTCACAAATTCACCACAATCCTTAATGCTCGTAAAGTCATCGACCAACAAACCGATCGCCTTCTCGCCGACACCTCACGCCTACAATACCTCCTCTTTAAACCTGTCAGCGAGTCTCAGTACACTACCATTGACAACGGCCGCTACGACAGTCGCCAGACCTTCCCAAAAGGCACGCGCCTTACATACGATGCTGATACAAATTCACTGATTGTCAAACTAATGGCTTCAACAAGACACGAATCGGCCCACCGATTAGTTGAGTATAGGATCCTCTTCAAGCTCGGCGGTTTTGGGATTCCTTCGTCAGCATTAATTCCATTTGGCGGCGGGAAGTGCAAAGGCAACTCCACTTCGAAACAACCAGACTCTTCATACAAACCATCTTTCCGGGGCATACATGGGTGGCCAACTGTGGTCGTGGAATCAGGCTTGTCAGAGTCATTGACGCAGCTCCGCAGCGACGTCTCGTGGTGGTTCGTCAACTCAGAAGCACAAGTTCACATCGCTCTTATAATCTCCGTACGCCAAGATGACCGCAGTATTGTGATTGAGACGTGGGAGGTGACCCAACCAGATGAAGCGCGGATGATCACGAGATCGAATGCCCAGCAAGTCCCAATCCGAACCCAAGAGATCTCTATCTCCGACGTTGCGATCACAGGGGCGCCGCTGGTGTTGGAGTTTCCAAAGATCTTTGAGCGTGCGGCTGTTCCACCAGAGGGGGATGTTGTCTTCTCTGCTCAAGAGCTGAGAATGTGGGCGGACGATGTTTGGCAGGATGAGATGGCCTGATCCAAATTAAAGCCCTGTGGTAACTCGGTCTGGAACAAACTATCTGCAGCTTCCCTCTCGATAGGAAGGCTTGAAATCACACCAAAGTCTAGCCGCACGACTCGGACAGGCCAAGCGCAAGGAGGATATGAATGTATGACCCATCTCTAAGCCCTTCCCCTAGCCTTTTCTTCACATATCTGATATTTTTGTTACTTTCCAACCACGTCTGAAATCACCGGTGAACCCGCCGAACCTATCCCTCACGGGATATGGGCAACGGCAAAACGGTCATTCTGGGATTTATTTATACGGAAGCAACGCCTGAGCTGATAAACGAGTATGGAGAGGTCTGGTACGAGTGGCAATCTCATCCACCAATGCAAAACCCGTTCACGCTCTTTGGATCCCTTGGAATGCGTGGCTAGGCAATGTTCCTAGTTGGCCTGTTTTCATGGATGGCTGACGCCTTCCATTTCCATGCCCTTTCCATCCAGACAGTGAAATTGGCCGACTATTACGGCGAAACGAAAGCACAATCCCCATCGCAATAATCGTCGTCGCAACGCCCATCACAGGTCCGTAGGCCGGCACCTGCCCCCCCTTTATGCCAGTGATGTTCATCTTCTCCGACAGCGCATTCACGATCTGTGCGCTGGGGCTACTGATCGTGTTACCCAGCTGGTACGTAAGTCCCGGGAAACTACTGCGGAATGCGGGCGGGGACAGCTCGTTGAGGTGGATTGGAATGACGCCCCAAGCGCCTTGGACGAAGAATTGCATGAAGAATCCGGAGGCGGAAAGTGAGCCTTCCCTATTCGGCAGGATCCAGGTGGGAATTAAGACCATGGAAATGAGGGCCGATGCGATGATGGTGCGGCGGCGGCCGACGAATTGGGAGAGGTATCCCAGGATGGTTCCACCGACGCAGGCGCCGACTTTCATTATAATGGAGGCGCGCGATGCGGCAGAGTTGTCGAGGGCTTTGCCAGTGCGCATGAAGGTTGTGTAGCTGTCTTGGGAGGTGTGGGAGTAGAAGTTGAACCAGACGCTGCGGTGCTTGTTAGTTGAATGTTGCAAAAAGGTACTGGTAAAGGTCTGACATGAGGAAAACGCAGTAGACCACCATCTTCCATTCTTTAGCAAGCATGAGTCTGGTGTCCCGCCAGAAATCCGCTAGAGTAATATGCTTATGGCCCTCCTTCTTTGCATCAATGAATTATTGCGATGCTGGGAAACAGATGCTAACGAGGCCGGCAGCTATCGAGACGCCAGTACAAACCCAGAACACCGTCTTCCAAGATTCTGTTGAACCACCAACCCCAAGACTGGCGCAAGCAGCAAAGACGTAGCCCATCGAGTAACCTTGTTGCAGGATTCCCGACATGAGACCTCTAGCATCTACGAGACAGTCGCAATGGCACTCCCAGAGCCATCGCAGTAGCACTCCCATATACACCGCCCATAAAAAGGCCAAACACGGCCCGTACGGCGAGAAAGTGTGAAAATTCCCCACTGTACGGAGATGGTACCGATTTGTAGGATCTCGAGGATGATCATGTGCACAACCAGCGGCCATTTGCGTCCATAGCGATCTGAGAAGAGGCCACAGATGGCCCCGCCGACCGAACGAAGTAAAAGGGTGAGGCTGATGGTTGTGGTGAGTTGGAGGAGGTGGAGACGAGGGATCAAAAGACAAAGGAGATTCCGGCGTAGGTGTTTTGCATCGGTAAGGGGCTCAGGTTCCACGATATGTCTATTAGCACATTGAGAGTATTAAGCAACTGAATTACAAGCTTGTTTATGACAGAGCGGACGGGATGCCTAAATTTCTTGAGTCTATGGTCGTATGTATCAATCACCCTCATATCACATACTATAACTATATTATGACACAGTGTGAATCTTTATGTTTCGCTTTAGTAGTGTATACAGGGTGAAAAAGTCTCGAAAAGTTAATGTAATTAATAATAGTATTCTTATCTACGTTCTTCCGCCTTAGAATGTTATTCAATCAACTTTTCTCCGCCTTAGCATATAATCAATCCACATCTCTCCATCCACGTTGGATTTACATCAATCTACAACAAGCCCGCAAGAAAGACGACACCGGCCAACCCGACCATCACGCTGGCGCCCATGTACGACGTTACGGCCGCTCCATTGGGGTGTGGTCCATCAGTTCCCGGAGGAGAGGTTGTCCCCGGCCCGCCGCCACTGGGAGTGGGCGGTACAGGGGGGCCACGAGTAAAGGTGGTGTTTGGGTACACTGGGCATGCGGTGACATATACGGTGACGATGATTATTAGCTTCGTCCGGAGCAGAAGGGGAATGACTTACCAGTGCTACCTGGTGGTGGCTGCGATTTGTTCGTGTGGGCAGTCGATTGTAGCCCGTCCTCTGGACCCCATGTTGGGTTAGTGTAGATGGCCGTGTATACGGTTGGTGTAAATGGTCGTGTAGGTTGACTCCTCTGCGCTGCGTGTTGGGTTTGTGAGAATCGTCGAAACAGTCGCCTCCTCTTGTCCCCGTGTTGGGTTTGTGAGGATTGTTGAGACGGTCGACTGCTCTACCACCCGTGTTGGGTTCGTGTAGATGGTTGAAACAGTCCCTTCCACTGGCTCCTCAGGGGTGTTGTGGGCAGCGACGATGGCCACGAGAGGGAGGAGTGCGAGGATCTGCATCGTTGCGGGATATGTGTATATATGAATGCTTTGGAAGGGGTATTAACGAGAGAGCAAGGCGAAAGCAAGCGACGGTATGAGAACGACAGTAAGTGTGAGACGTATGTGGATAAAGCAATAGAGGATGAACAATAGAACAGAAGGAAAAACGATACTTATAACTCGATCACACACGTCTAGACAGTCATGACAGGTACCCTAAATTAGCTAGAACACGAATAAACATCTTTCTAACGGCCCCTTTAGTTAATATTGCGACATTATGGCAAGTCCTAATAGTGGCGTGGCGACATGGATGCCATGTGTCACGGCAATACGAGCCTGTTAGTGTTACTTCCCTCTCTGTTATGAAGCACATCGCAGGCTATAAATGCGGGAGTCTCAGGATTTCAGGGACCCACGATCACGGCAGCCACAGTTGGATAAGCCGTTCTGAGGATATGAATAGTGTTACAATTGTGGCTAAATATGGCGGATGTTGCGAGTTGATGTGGCTCGTATTGGTGCGAATGACGATCGATGCCGCCACCACTTATGATTGGGCGGCGGTGGAGTTCCAGTTTGGTGTTGTGACGAGAATATAACAAAATAGCCAGGGTAGGTGATAAAACATATGTATAGTCTCCCAGCCCCGCGTTTTGTCGCCGCCGTGGGGACCTCTGTCCCTGCCAGCAATGCAGCTGTCGACGCACAATTAAACAGAAGACGAGGCGTACATACTCTAAAGATCCGATGTATTGCCCAAGGCTATGTAGGTTCATAGATAGGTTGGAGTTGTGCTCGACTACGATGGACCCAGTGCTCCATTTGGTGCGTCGCACCGTAAATCCAGCATGCAATGAATGCTCTCTGCCACAAAACTCAGCATCCCAATATTCTAAAGCAATCCCTAGTAAGTTAAACCAGTTTCAAAGCTTCGGCTTCGGCTCAAACTCCTCCTATTCTGGCTCGCGTTAGTCTCCCTCCTCCCCCCGCTATGTGCAGCCAAGCCCCTTGCAGCCTCCAGGCCCTCAACGGAACTATCTTCCGCGAGTCTACTTGCCATATAGGCCGCAATCAACGCGAAAATGCCACCCGCAGCTAGCGATGCGGGCATACTCATATCACCCGGGGTCCCCCGTGGCTTTTGGAGGAACTTAAATATCAGCGACGAGCCTAGGGTGGCAAGGACCTGTGGCGCGGCGATAGAAACGTTGTGAATGCCGAGGATGACACCTGCCTGATCTCCGTTGTCATCGCGGGATAATGGGTCGACTCGGCCACCCGAAGCTACGTTCAGTGCCTGTGCGCGACGAAGGGCATCCCGCATGGAAATTTCGGCTGAGATGATGGCAAAGGGCGCCCAGATGGTGAGAGCCCATGGTATACCAACGATTCCAACGACGATGGTGGCAACAGTGGGATTAGGAACCATGAGGGTTGAGAACATACAGAGGCCAAACATGATTAAGCTAATGGTCCACGCGCGGCGCAGCGAAAGCCATGGAATGACGAGGCGTTCGAGGAAGCGGTCCAAACGAGTCGTGTAGCTTGACGATGAGCTTTGCGAATGGATACTTTGGGTTACTTGACCGGCGGACGGGACAAGTGGGGCATCGTAGGTTGGCGCAATGAAGAACGGAAGGAAAACATTGGCAGCCAACGATACGCTGGCCCATACGAGAAGTGCAAAAGTGCCAATGCGAGTGCCTTTCTCATACAGGCGGTCGATTTCTTCCGGGGTTAGGTCTGGGTTGGCCTCGACAAATGGTTCAACATAGAGTTCTGCCACCCATGTTGATAAGTAGAATAGGAATCCAAACCACCCGATCCAGGCAAAAAACTGAACCTCGCAGACTTTGCGAGTTTGTGGTGGCAGGCTCTTGATCGAGCTAAAGACGCCCTTAAAGAAGGAAACGACACCTCCCTTGTCGCCAAGAGGTGGACCCTCTTCACGTGGGTCTCTCTCTTTAATGAAGATGATGCTGATTGCAACAGTAAATGACAGACAGATACTCGCAATTACGCACAGTATCTTAAATTGGGTGTCTCCAAAGAACCACATATACCTTGGGAGGTTGATGTAGCCAAAGCAATACCCAATTATGTTTCCGATTCCAGTCATTCGGCTTCCCATGGCGTTTGCCGCCTCTGTCACAGAGTTAGCAGCTACAACCATTAGGAAATGTAGGGGCCATACCTTGTTGATGTGTAGGGGCACAGTCGACCATGAAAGCTCTAATCGCGGCTTGGACTTCAAGATGTTAGAAATGCCGAGTATACTTAGCGGCAGTAGCTTACTAGTATTGATAGCAAAGTCCAAAACGTAGACGAAAAGCACAGCAACGACGATGGTGGTTACTTTTACACCAGGGTCGTCCTTCTTGGCCCCGAAAATGCCCAGAAATCCACCAACTACCTCTTTCGTCCAGGCCAAGGCTAGAAGGGACACTATCGTTGCCGCTGCTCCCCCAAGGATAAATGGCTTTCGCTTGCCCCATGGAATCCTGCAGTTATCACTTCGAACGCCGACATACGGTTGAACTAGAGTTCCAGACAGTGGCCCGGCAATCCATACCAAAGCCATCACAGATTTGCTCAGTCCAAGCGATAGCAGGTATGGTGAGCCGTTTGATAATTCCACAGACCATGCTATTTGTAACCCTCCAAGACTAATCGTTAGAATGATAAGGTACCAAACGCTCTTGGTGACTTGGTACTCGTCATGGTGGTCTAGGGCGGTACCATCATTCAGCAAGCCATCTCCGTCGTCTTCGCTCTGCGAGGCTCGGAGGAGAGGAGACTGCTCGTTTGCTGGGTCCCCGGCTCCATCAAATGACACCTTGTGCGGTGAACCGTTGGCTACCCCTGAAGCATCCGAACTGTTACGTTCTGAACCAGGCGCTAGTTCTGTATCGGTTCTCTCTCTGCCTTGAGGTGGTGATTTCGCATCTGACAAGCTCATCTGCTCAAGCTGTATATTCTCCGACACTGTGCCGATATTTAGACCCTCGCCTGGATTATGTACGCCTGTAATATCGCACGGAAGACTGAACGCAAAACTTTATGAGGACAGTAGGTATATGATTTCGAGTTAATCGTGGGAATGGTCTAAAGCGACATCACTCGTGGCGGGGTCGTCCAGGACACAACACCAGTTGGTCAGATCGTTGGGTTTAAATTGACAGGCTTTCTAAGAATGTAAGCGGGGAGCGTATACAAACGGGCTATATAATGTTGAAGCCAATTACCTTGAACAGAGCTGATTATTGGCGTTCAGGGGCGAGGGGGCTCAGGACATCACGAGGGCAGTTGGACAGCTTGGACAACTTGGACGGCTGAGATGTCGGCGTGACAGAGCCGGCGACAGTAGGTACATGCAAAGATGAAAATTCTATTTCAAGTATGCGCTGAATGATGGGTATGACTTTATAGAGTCTGTAGTTACGGTATGCAGAAGAGGAGGAGGAAAGCAAACAGAGAGTATGCGTTCTGCGAGACGATGGAACTCAAGGGCACATGACGACCACTGCCCATCATCGTCATTCAGGTCCAATACGACACGCGATAGAGACCTGTGCAGAAGGGTTACCAGCGGCTAGCGGTTAGCGGTTAGCGCAAGCCGATTGGCGGCTACTAACCCTCCAGCCACTAGCACCTGTCGCAATCTGTACAATATCGTGAAGACCTCATCTTCGACTTTCTCAAGCCCATTCATCCTAGGATATATATGGTGCTTTCTCTCACCATTCTCAGCTCACCGTTGAGCGACGCTATCGTCACCCCACGAGCCGCAAGTTCTTGCTCAATAGGGGACCTTCGAGTCGCCTAAGGTCCATCGCGGAGGCATATATTTACATCCCAAGACTGCCAAGCATGGTTGCCGCCGTTGCGACCTATCTGATACACGGCCTACTCAGTATGGTTGCTAATGTATATGACATGCGACATACCCATGCTAATAATGCTTCCTCACAGAGCGTCAGGATGATGAAGTCGACGACCGAGAAAGTTGGTTACGCTTCTTTGTCCGCTTCACGAGCCTGTGTCTAACTCATTACCAGAACCTGGATCTGCCCAAAGGGAGATATCTATGTCATGGGCCCTATTCATCCTCATAAGCCTCCTCATCATCGCCTTGTTTACGTCATACCTGCTTCAAACCCGAAAGGTGCAAGCTGTCCACGAAACTGTCATATCGATTTTTGGTGGAATGACTGTGGGGTTGATCCTGAGAATCACCACCGGGACATCGATACAGAACCTCGTTACCTTTGACTATCTATTATTCTTCAACCTGCTCCTGCCGCCTATTATCCTTGCGTCGGGATATGAGCTACACCAAGCCAACTTCTTCCGGAATATAGGCACCATCTTGACTTTTGCATTTGCTGGGACCTTCATCTCAGCCGTTGTTCTCGGGTCAATTCTCTGGCTATATACCAGGATACCATTGGAGGGCTTTGATATATCCTTCCTGGAGGCCATATCTGTCGGGGCTACACTATCTGCCACTGATCCAGTCACCATCCTTGCCATCTTCAACACCTACAAAGTTGATCCGAAACTTTATACCATCATTTTTGGCGAGTCCATATTGAACGATGCTATTGCAATTGTCTTGTTTGAGACAGCTCAGAGGTATGAGGAGGTCGGCCAAAAAGTTACTTTGGGACCCCTTAATCTCATCGAGGGTATTGGAATTTTCTTGGCCGTTTTCTTTGGCAGCCTCCTAATAGGGGTTTTCATTGGGGTTGCTACTGCTCTGGTGCTGAAGCATACCTACGTGCGGCGCTTCCCCAAGATTGAGTCTTGCTTAATTTTTCTGATTGCCTATGCGAGCTACTTCCTTTCCAATGGCCTCCATATGTCTGGTAAGTCGCCTGTATATCGGTATACTAGATTATTGCTAACACCGTCTAGGCATCGTGAGTCTGTTATTCTGTGGCATAACTCTAAAGCACTATGCCTACTACAATATGTCGCGCCGCACACAGCTCAGCACCAAGTACATCTTTTCCGTGCTGGCACAATTGTCAGAGAATTTTATCTTCATCTATCTCGGTATTACCCTATTTACGGAACCTTCGTTGCAGTTTAAGCCTCTGTTTATTATCGTCACCGTCTTCGGCATCTGCATCGCGCGATGGGCCGCTGTCTTTCCACTATCAAGGCTCATCAACTGGTTCATCCGCTACCGAGCCCGTCGCCGCGGCAGAATGGACGCACCTGATGAGCTGCCCTACAACTACCAAACCATGCTCTTCTGGGCCGGCCTCCGCGGCGCAGTCGGTGTCGCCCTCGCCGCCGGCCTAACTGGCGAAAACGCATCCGCCCTCAAGACCACCGTCCTCGTCGTTGTCGTCCTAACCGTGATCATCTTCGGTGGCACCACAGCGCGCATGCTCGAGATCCTGGGCATCCGCACCGGCGTCGTCGACGAGATTGACAGTGATGACGAATTCGACATTGAAGCCGTCACTGGCGGCTCCGGCCCCTATTTCGCCCGAGGTGGTGGCAGCGCGATCGGGAACTTCCCCAAGCGTCGCTCCAGCGTGCAGCTCGACAATGTCGGTCGCCCCGCGAACGGTGCTTCGAGGCGCATCTACGCGTCTGGTAACTCGAGCCCGGCAGCCCGTGAGCAAAGCCTCGGCAGGGCCAACTCAGCCTTAGGAGGCAGCATCGGGCGCCACGGCTCTGACCAGGAACTGTTGCGCGCCCCGCCGTCCGACGACGAGGAGAGCGACTCGGATCTTCCTCCCGCAGCGCGACGGGCGGCGCGGCCGGAAGGCCCGTCGAGCGCGTTGGAGGGTTTGGGGCTTCTTAATCCAGAAATCTATCCTACAAGCGGATCAACGGCGGAGCGTACGCCGAGCGCGGGGTTCGTGGCGGGGCTGAGCAACACGGTCACGGGTGCAGGTGCGGCTATGAGTAGTTTGCTGAGCGGGACGACGGAAGATCATGCGGCGTGGTTTAAGCAGCTGGATGAGGGCTTTATTAAGCCGAAGTTGCTGTTGGATGGGGGGAAGCCGGGGAATGGTAGTGGGAGCGGTGGTGCGTAGGGGGCGATGCGGTTGTTGGGAAATAATGTTGTAGTCTACTGTTGGCTTTAGTGTTGTTTCTGGAGACTGGTGATACCTTTGTTTTAGTGGCCGCTGGCGGATGAAGGAGAGAGGTGTGCTGTATGATACTGATGAGCATAGCTGGCGTTTGGTAGATGGTTACTGCCAGCTGATGGCCTGGGTGCGTGAATTTTCTTCGTAGCCTTGGTATTCATGTCATGTACACATCTATATACTTTTGTTACTATATACACCTTTTCTGGAAACGTCTTGGCCCCCCTCTCCATCAACACGCCTCCAAAACGGCACCAGCCAGGTCCGCTCCGCGCGCACAAAAGCAAAGCTAGCCCACCACATCCCGCTGCGGGGCCCCCTCACCCCCCTCCTTCAGCCACCCGGGAATCCTCCTCGGTAATCTGGATTTCGCCCGTGAGGTTCAGAGGTGTTGGAGGGCGGGAGGATCCCTGACGCACATCAGTTCCAAATAGGCTGCTCAGCCTACTCTATCCTCGAGCAATGGAAAAAGTGGTTACAACGATTTAGTGCCTATGTATATGCAACGTTCCGGCCCAACCGTGAGTTGCGCCCGCTCATGGGCTGGCCGCCAGCTCATGAGCGAGAATAAATCACAGTTGGGCCGGAACATATATAATTTTATATGGAAAGGTAACTACAAGTGATTCATTCAGCGATCAACGCTCGACAACCCATCATTCACTCTATCTAATCAAGTCCAGGGCAGTTCTCAGAAGTAGTAGCAGCGATGGCGGAGTATGGTGAAGGATCAGTCCAGATCAGGTTGAACCTATTCCGCATGTAAGAGTTATGCTCATAAAAGTGCCAAAGCGCAATATAGAAACTTACGAAGCACTTGGGTAGGTGGGGGCATTGCCGTCACCCAGGGCCTTCACAATATCGGTCAGGGCATTGTGCTCCCAGCAGATAAGGATGTTTCCGCCACCAGCGTAGTTGTTCACAACCTTGGCGACGCACTTCTGGTCGTCACGGTCGCAAGAGGTGTCGACGGTGATACCAAGGTCGGAAGCAAGGGGCTGGACAGTTGCGAGCGGGCGGGCGCGGGATCCATCTGAGGGTTCAATTAGCACAGCTGGAATATCTATAAGAATTTATTGGGCAGCGCGGGAAGAATACCAGAGTCTGGGGTCATGGCCATGATGTAGCCGATGTTGTAGGAAGATGAGCTTCCGAACACGTTACGCAGGCACTGGGCACGCTGGAGACCTTGGGCATTGAGGCCCTTGCCGCTGGAAGGCTTCTCACCGTGACGGATCAGGTACACGGTGCTCTTAGCGGCCACGGCCGGGACCAGCAGAAGTGGGATGTAGTTGAGGAGTTGCATGGTGAATGATGGATTGTCAAAGATTTGGAGATGAGCCTAGGACTTATTATTGCGTCTCATTCTTGGCTGAATCAAACTTCTTTATAGCTTCTCGAGACACCCTTGACATGGCAACATGACGGACGAACTGCCAACCCCCGCATGCCCGTGATCGACTGATCGTCGGGCTGTCATGATCTTATCCAACAGTATGACCCAGATGGCACACGCGATGCAGGGCCGAGGGACGGTGAGGGACTGTTCTGGAATCGAACATTAGTAGCGCCTTGAAGAAGAAACTTGAATGAGTCGCTTCCAGTGTTCATGTTGTACATACTAGTACGTCTAATCTCCGGATCGCTGCGGGTGGCAAGCTTTTTAGGGATTATGTGTTAGAAATCGGGCCGGGGGTTAGAAAAAAACTGTGGTTCTGGTTCTAGAAAACCGGAGGATCTCCGCCACGGACCCGAGCTGTCCCATGGTTCTCTCAGAGCTAGGGGACTCAACCCACGGTTCTTACAGAACCAGAAAAAGCCTCTTTAGGGCTCCATATTCCGGTGAAAACTCTGCACCAGAAGGAGCGGCTCACTCGGAAGTTCCGGGGGTTATTAGGGGTTATTTAGAGCCTATAAAAGTATGCGTAGTCCGATTAGAATAGCCTGTTTAATTGCATCGTTTTACTCTGTTCTACAAACTACATCCTACACTGTGAAGCCAGCTTCTGTACTGTCATTATGGCGAACTTTAGAGTTAGTCCACCCTGCCCAGTGCCGCGAATGGGAGCCGTGTTCCACTACACATGGCGATGATAAGTACCTCTGCACAGTAAATTATATGTAAAGAATAGTTATCAGATCCGAAGTACGACGACGCTCATCATCCCATTACTCGCATGATTCTGACTCCTAACGCTAATTCTACGCCTTATTTGCTTTATCAACCACAGTCTATTTATTCAAGCCAGCGACACGCCACCGTCAGGCTCCAAATCCCTGTCTTTCTTACTCTTCTTCCCTCTGGCAACTTGTGTGGTCTGTCGGCCGTTTCCCGCCCACTACTAAGATAGGTATCTAATCCCATGGGAAGAAGGACGTCGACGCGATGGCCATTAGCATGATTGAGAGTAAAAGGCAATTGATCCTAAGCTTTGTATATGGCAGAGCGAATAGGACGCCCGGTTCTCTCGAGTCTATCGCCATACGTGAGAGTTTTGTGCTTGTGGCGGCCATATCTAACTTTGAATTGTCCGATCTAAACCATGGTACCTTCAGGAATGGTCCTCTGAAATATTGAAGCCCCCACGATGTTTCTTCCTGTCAAAATAGTTACCACTCGAGTATTGCCAAAACGCAGAGAGTAATTCCTGATGGGGATTCACCGCCTATTAGTTACGGCTAAAAACAATTAATATATCAGGAAGGTGTGATCTACTTCAAACTGCATTGCTCTTCATATCCCGTGTAACACCTACCGAGCATGCATTCGGGCGCAACGAGGCGATTACTGGTGGCTAATACTAATTGACGGTGAAGTGGTATACTGAAAGTACAAAGTATATTGCTCTTAACATTCTGAAGTGCCGCCTATCGAGCCTAAATGAGTATTGATATCCGTACGACCTTAGGCACGACCTGATTGGATATGGCTAATGTCAATCGGAAGATAGTTGAGCTACCTTGGGGGGTATATTACGCTGAAGTACTCGAGTATGTTGAAAACAGCACTCCGGGCTTGGCACTAGGATCACCGGCTTTACCAGTCCGCTCCCCCGACATCGGTGCAAGGATATCAGAACCCTGTATCGTATTATGTATTATATTAGGTTTAGCGGTTAGTATTACAGTATTATCTCGTTAAGTTGATGTAATTGGTCATGCATAAATATCGAGTTACTCGTACTTTGGGTCAATAATTGTTAACTGTGCAATGATCGTCTACACCCTTGTAACTCCCTTGTAAATATATGGACAAATAGGGAGCGCTGATTACCCGAGTAATGTTGTGCTGCTTTATCGTATGTACGTGACGCGTTATAGTAATTCAATTAACAACAATGGAAGTTGAGCCGCCATCAACTCCAAAGCGACAGCAAGAGCTGTCTCGAGATGAACGTCTACGGATTTATACTTTATTTAATGATGCAAAATGGTCGACATATGAAATTTGCAAGTTATTAGATTGCACGCCTCGACAGGTACTGTACAATATGCTCTTGAAACTCGGCCAACACCACAACGAAAAGGAAAATGCGGTCGTAAAGTTGGTATTAATACACCCCGTCGAAAGCAACTTGTTAATTTTGTTACTGCCTCTCGAGTAAATCGCCGTCTACTTTGGAAAGATATTCCTGCTGCAATCGGATGGGATTGTAAGATTTATGCTATCTCGACAGCATTAAAAGCTGAAGGATTTAACAGACGAATCGCACGACGAAAACCACATCTTTTGCAACGACATGCAGATACACGACTTGCTTGGGCAATAGAACATGAAAATTGGACATTGGAACAATGGGGATCTATCTTATGGACAGATGAAACTTGGGTAAATCCAGGATTACATAACAAGCATACAAATAAGGTTACTCGACAGGTGGGAGAGGAACTTTTGCCTGATTGTGTCGACCCAAAGATACAGCGAAAAATCGGTTGGATGTTCTTTGGGGGGATTACAGGAAGATATGGAAAAGGGCCCTGCCTATTTTGGGAAAAGCGATGGGGAACTATAACTTCTGCAACTGTAAGGATGCCTCCGTACCTAGATACTCGAAGAACCTGTCTCAGAACTGTTACGGTCACTACAAACATGGAATCCGACTCGGTGGGGTTTCGAACCAGTAGAGGATCATATAGCGAGTTACACTATAGTGGGGGACGGTAAGTGTATAGGGTTCAGGGCCGATGTAGACCTGTTGCGGTGGAAGGTTCAGGGCTAGGGTTGGGATAACCGAGTCGGGCCCGTTTCGGGAGTTAAGGAAACAGACTCAACGGGGTTCCCCCTTCATCTTTTTTGTATCCTTCGTAGTAGACCTATAGGATAGAATACAGCATCACCTCCGACTCGCACTCCCATATGCACCTACGGAGAGCCGTATTCCCTGTGTCCTTACAGCAACATACTGTGAACATACTGTTCCAATTCTTGATGCATATATACGTGAACATCTAGAGTTAGTTCTAATGCAAGATGGAGCAGGCGGTCATATTGCAGCTGCAACAATGGCTGTACTTGCTGCTCTTGGGATTTCTACAATCCGTTGGCCTTCTTTTAGTCCTGATCTTAATCCAATTGAGACGTTGTGGAACAGGATGAAGGACTGGTTGCAGGAGAAATATCCTGAGATTCACCGGTCAAGCCCAAGACTACGAGAGCATGTAATTGAAGCTTGGGAAGCAATTCCTAATGAAGAGGTTATTGCATTAATTCACTCTATGCCTGCACGTTTTATTGCTGCTAATGGGTGGCATACAAAATATTAGATTATTATTTTTATTTGTATTTAACGTACATGTATAGCGAAAGCGCCAAACAAGCGAAAGCGCCAAAATGATGCGGTGACCAAACCCCCCAACTAAATGTTAAATTCCTCAACAACAAAACATGCCCCATAAAAACGATGAAAGCCAATTAGTGCTAGCTATCCAGGCTATGCAAAGCGACCCAAAGTTACGCCTTCGAGTTGCTGCTAGGATCTATTCTGTGGACCACCGCAAGCTAGGTCGTCGTCTAGAAGGTGTACCTTCACGACGCGATATCCAAGCCAACTCACGGAAATTAACTAACCTAGAGGAGTCCGTCCTTGTTCAGTATATACTCGACCTAGCTGCCAAAGGGTTTCCTCCTCGGCTGTCTGTTGTTGAAGATATGGCAAGTCGACTACTTGCAACACGCGACGCGTCACGCGTTGGGTCGCGTTGGGCTTCAAACTTTGTTAAGCGGCGTGTAGAGCTCCAGACACGCTTTCAGCGCAAATACGACTACCAGAGGGCTAAGTGCGAAGATCCAGAAGTTATTAATGGCTGGTTTGAGCTTGTGCGTAACACAATTGCGAAATATGGTATCGATGAAGCAGATATCTACAACTTTGATGAGACTGGGTTTATGATGGGCGTTATCTCAACTGCTATGGTTGTAACAAGCTCAGACGGGCGGGCAAAAGCAAAGAAGGTACAGCCTGGTAATCGGGAATGGGTTACAGTAATCCAAGGCGTTAGTTCTCAAGGTTGGGCAGTACCACCATTTATCATTGTTGCAGGCAAAAACCACCTTACATCTTGGTATGAGAATAGTGGATTTTCAAGCGATTGGGTGATTTCTGTTACTGAAAATGGCTGGACTACAAACGAGAGAGGCATGGATTGGATTCAGCACTTTGAGAAGCATACAAAGGCCCGGAGTGTTGGTGGTTATCGCTTGTTAGTCCTTGATGGTCATGAGAGCCACCACTCAGATGAGTTTGAGGAGTACTGCAAGGAACACAACATTATTACGCTTTGTATGCCTGCTCACTCTTCTCATCTACTCCAGCCACTTGATGTTGGCTGTTTCGGCCCGTTAAAGCAGGCCTATGGTCGGCAAATTGAAGATATGATGCAGGCTCATATTTCTCATATTACAAAGGATGACTTCTTTCCTGCCTTCCACGCTGCATTTAACACTACAATGACGGAAAGTAACATTCGAGGCGGGTTCCGAGGGGCAGGGCTTCTTCCATTTGACCCTGAGAGAGTGATATCTACACTTGATCTTAAGTTAAGGACACCAACGCCTCCAAGCTCCCGCCCAGGTACTGCTCAACCTTGGGTTTCTCAGACACCAAACAACCCAATTGAAGCTATGTCACAGTCTACATTTATTAAAACTCGGATTTCACGCCATCAAAATAGCTCTCCAACCTCAATCTATGCAGCTGTTGACCAGTTTACAAAGGGTGCATCGCAAATAATGCATCAATTAGCACTGCTAAAGGCAGAGAACCAAAACCTACGACAGGCAAATGAAGTACTAAGCAAGCGCCGGAGAGCTAGGAAAACACGACTACAGCAAGGAGGATCACTTAGTCAACAAGGGGCACAAGAGCTACAGGATGAGAGGGATGTTGTGCAGCAGGTAGAGCAGGAAATAAGGGCAAGCCGTGGTCGGAAGCCAAGGGAAGAAACCCGTGCCCGTCGCTGTGGCAAGTGTGGTGAGACTGGGCACAATGCGCGCACGTGTCAGATTGTAATAGACACCTCTGAGGAAGAGGACTCCGAGTAGTTTCAATTGATTTCTAATGTTGTGGTAGATTTATCGCAATGTTTGTCGTGAGGGTAGATAATTTTGGCGCTTTCGCTTGTTTGGCGCTTTCGCTATACATGTACGTTAGTTATATATTATATTATTTCCTACAACTTTTTATTTCTCGTATCTCTCGCAACTTTTTAAAACAGCGTTGTGGCAGATTGTGTGGTGGAACTACGTACATGGGTCCCCTGTTAACAATTATTGACCCAAAGTACGAGTATAGTAATATCGAGTTAGAAAGTGATCTGAAGTAGACCCGAAGTAGCCTCTTAGCTAAACCATCCATCCATCCAACGTGCCTTAAGCCAAGTCATTGGCCTGTTTAGCCACTAGTTGCCTCTCCACATGCTCTAAAGAGCGTAAAAATGATGCTGGATCCGTAATGCCACTATTCTCAGATTCTGAGAACTTAATCAGAACTTAGAGGGCTTGTACAGCGTTCTGTGTAGTGAGCACAGGACGCTAGGGTGTAACACTGACTTCTAAACGATAGAAGACACAGAGGTTTCTTGCGTAAGGTTGACTTGACAGAGGAGGCAGGGGATTAAACACAAAGGCTTTTCTAAGTAACACGTTACAGTATTGTAAAGAATACTATATTAAGTTGAGCACGACTAAGAAATAACTATCTACTTATATAGTTTCTAAACCGGTCCAGCGCACCATTAACCCCTTGCAACCCGCCGCTGGCAGCCTGTCTCGCGTTGGTGGCATCCACAGTAACCACCACCGCACTCATGTCGGATTTGGGCTTTGGCTCCCTCTTAGAGGCCGGAGAGGTCGACAAGTAGAAAACGAAATTTGAGCTATACGGGGCCTATGGGAGATTATGTGTTCACCAGGTGAGAATAATCGTCCAAACACACAAGCAAAAAACATAAGAACCCATTCGGAATTTCATAGCATTTATTTGGTATCCCACCCCCTCCCCATCACCCCACGCCCCCCCTATCACCCGTCTGTATACTACAAACCCCTCCCATCAGCAAAAAATGAGTTTTTTTTTCTGGTCAGAGACGCAAGTCAGCATATGCAAACTAGGTACAAGTCCCCTCATCCACCCCCACTTCCGCACCAAATCGGTGGCTGATTATATCGCCTCGTCTCGTCTCGCCGCGCCTAACATGGCAGCAGCACAAAAAAAATCCATCCATCCCAAGCCAGCCAAGAAACCCCGGCCCCCCCCTTCCCCAAAAGAAAAGCAGCCTAAAGCCACTTGAACCTAAAAAAAAACTCTTCGTTTGCAGGAAGTAGATCGGGTGATTGGTTGGATCGCTCGTCGGATCAGAGATCAGGGTCTTAGTTCTGCCCGTCCTCGTCGTCGGGCTGCTCGAACAGGAAGTTCGCAGCCAGCTCCTCGTTCTTGTCGCATGCGAAGTAGGCCTGGATGGCGAGGTCGCGCTCGAAGCCGAGACCGCAAAGCTAGTTTTCATTAGCACACGCAATCACCCCCAAAATACAATGGGGGACAAAAACTCACCCTCTCAATAGCCTCGCTCTCCTCCGGCGTAACGCTAATCTGCGTCGCCCCCGGCGGCGCCAGCGCATCCCCCTCCTCTCCCTCCTCCCCAAGCAACTGCAAGAACTGCTCCGGGTGCTGTCCAATCAGCTGCGCGAGCTGGGGGTTCCCCGCGCCCACAGACTGCAAGATCGGCTCCAGCATCTGCGGCTGCTGCTGCACCACTTGCCTCAGCTGCTGGAACTGCGGGTTGTTACGCAGCCAATCCAGGTTGCCGAGTCCGGCCTGTGCACCAGCTGCGCCTGCGCCTGCTCCAGCACCTGCAGCAGCAGCGAAGGGGTTTGCGCCGCGGGCGCCGGCGCCGGCACCGCCGCGACCAGCTTGCGCGGCGGCTTCGAAGAGGTTTATGCCCTCATCGCCGGTGGCGGGTTGGGCTGGGGGTGGTGACTGCGCGTCACTGGCCCCAGCGGCGGGGGCGGCGGCTTGCGGGGCAGCGGGGCGCTGCTCGCGCTGCAGGTCTTCGGGGATGCCGTTGAGGAGGTACTCGACAGCGCGGTCGGGGTTGAAGAAGGCGGCGCGCATGGCGGCGTCGATGCTGGCGCGCTCGAAGCCCATGCTCTCGAGGTTGGCGACGGCCTCGGCGCGCTGGGCGCCGATGGTCAGGGCGGAGGGGTCGTTGAATTGCGGTTGTGCGGGGGCGGGGGCGGGGGTTGCGGAGACGCCGGCGCCGGCGGGAGAGGGGGTGGAGGGGATGCCGGTGTTTGTGCCGGAGTTCGAGGCTACGACGGGAGGTGGCACGGGGGTCGAGGTTGAGGCAGCTGGGGCTGGAGTGGCGGGTTCTTTGGGTGCTGCTGCTGCTGGAGCTGGCTTAGGCTATGGACGAATCAGTTAGAGTTTGGGAGTTTGGGGGCGGTTGGTGGCGAAAATGTACCTTTGAGACCATGCACACGATGAACCCCTTCTCCTCGATCTTGTAGGACTCCACGGTGTTCGCATCTTGCAAGATCTTGCCTGATAACTGTCAGCTGTGTCCATTCCGTTGTAGCTTCATAATCTCGTATCCCAAGCTCCTGCGCGTGTCCATGTTTTGTAAGCATACCAGAGTAAATCAGCTTCTGCTGAGCAGCCTCCCAGCCCTTCTCCTTCTCAATCTTGGCCTTAACATCCGAAATCTAGCACAGAAACCGTCAGCCATATCCAAACAATTCCCGTCACCAAGCTCGATGATCGGTCTGGAGCGCCCTAGGCGCCACCCGGAGCGGGGTCGAGCCATCGTGAGAGTAAGGGTATCGTACCAGTTCGGTGGGTTCGGCTTCGATAACAAACTTTTGTTGCTTCAGATCCTACACCGTAAAATTCGACGTTAGCCACAGGTACAACAAGCTTCTCCCATCCGTGAGGCGACAAACCCTGAAAGTGAGCTTCATCTTGACTCTCTGGCTGCGCCTGGGCACCAGCTATTGTTGTCTGAAGGGTGATTCGTAGAGAGAAAAAACAGGAAACTAGGTCCCGAAACTCAACCCTTTGAAGAAAGAGGTCGAAAAGTGGTGTATAGATGTATTGGGGGTTTAATGAAGAAGAGTGTTTTGTATCGAAAGAGTTGGGGAGTCTCTTGAAGCCACAAACAGCAGACCTGTCGAAGTAGAAAGTCGACTAGCGTCAAGGCTGATTCCCCACCACGACCAGGTCGCAAGGCGACGACTTACTCTGGAACTTTAAAAGGGCCCTAGTACGTTCTGGGCGATTGAGATGAAAGCCTTATCAGGTAAGGCAAGTTAGTTACAGAATCATACAAATTCATCAGTTGAAGTTCACTGAAAAAGGCAGGGTTAGCAAATCAATTATAATCATGATTATTTAGTCGTAATCATGAATAACGTATTGCACATGCGGGTGGCCTACACAAGCGAGTGGCCCAGCTCATTTTACACCTAAAATCTCAAACTTTGTAACTAAATATCTTAACAACAGTTAAATAATAAATTATAAAACAATATACTTAACGTACATGTATAGCGAAAGCGCCAAACAAGCGAAAGCGCCAAAATTATCTACCCTCACGACAAACATTGCGATAAATCTACCACAACATTAGAAATCAATTGAAACTACTCGGAGTCCTCTTCCTCAGAGGTGTCTATTACAATCTGACACGTGCGCGCATTGTGCCCAGTCTCACCACACTTGCCACAGCGACGGGCACGGGTTTCTTCCCTTGGCTTCCGACCACGGCTTGCCCTTATTTCCTGCTCTACCTGCTGCACAACATCCCTCTCATCCTGTAGCTCTTGCGCCCCTTGTTGACTAAGTGATCCTCCTTGCTGTAGTCGTGTTTTCCTAGCTCTCCGGCGCTTGCTTAGTACTTCATTTGCCTGTCGTAGGTTTTGGTTCTCTCCCTTTAGCAGTGCTAATTGATGCATTATTTGCGATGCACCCTTTGTAAACTGGTCAACAGCTGCATAGATTGAGGTTGGAGAGCTATTTTGATGGCGTGAAATCCGAGTTTTAATAAATGTAGACTGTGACATAGCTTCAATTGGGTTGTTTGGTGTCTGAGAAACCCAAGGTTGAGCAGTACCTGGGCGGGAGCTTGGAGGCGTTGGTGTCCTTAACTTAAGATCAAGTGTAGATATCACTCTCTCAGGGTCAAATGGAAGAAGCCCTGCCCCTCGGAACCCGCCTCGAATGTTACTTTCCGTCATTGTAGTGTTAAATGCAGCGTGGAAGGCAGGAAAGAAGTCATCCTTTGTAATATGAGAAATATGAGCCTGCATCATATCTTCAATTTGCCGACCATAGGCCTGCTTTAACGGGCCGAAACAGCCAACATCAAGTGGCTGGAGTAGATGAGAAGAGTGAGCAGGCATACAAAGCGTAATAATGTTGTGTTCCTTGCAGTACTCCTCAAACTCATCTGAGTGGTGGCTCTCATGACCATCAAGGACTAACAAGCGATAACCACCAACACTCCGGGCCTTTGTATGCTTCTCAAAGTGCTGAATCCAATCCATGCCTCTCTCGTTTGTAGTCCAGCCATTTTCAGTAACAGAAATCACCCAATCGCTTGAAAATCCACTATTCTCATACCAAGATGTAAGGTGGTTTTTGCCTGCAACAATGATAAATGGTGGTACTGCCCAACCTTGAGAACTAACGCCTTGGATTACTGTAACCCATTCCCGATTACCAGGCTGTACCTTCTTTGCTTTTGCCCGCCCGTCTGAGCTTGTTACAACCATAGCAGTTGAGATAACGCCCATCATAAACCCAGTCTCATCAAAGTTGTAGATATCTGCTTCATCGATACCATATTTCGCAATTGTGTTACGCACAAGCTCAAACCAGCCATTAATAACTTCTGGATCTTCGCACTTAGCCCTCTGGTAGTCGTATTTGCGCTGAAAGCGTGTCTGGAGCTCTACACGCCGCTTAACAAAGTTTGAAGCCCAACGCGACCCAACGCGTGACGCGTCGCGTGTTGCAAGTAGTCGACTTGCCATATCTTCAACAACAGACAGCCGAGGAGGAAACCCTTTGGCAGCTAGGTCGAGTATATACTGAACAAGGACGGACTCCTCTAGGTTAGTTAATTTCCGTGAGTTGGCTTGGATATCGCGTCGTGAAGGTACACCTTCTAGACGACGACCTAGCTTGCGGTGGTCCACAGAATAGATCCTAGCAGCAACTCGAAGGCGTAACTTTGGGTCGCTTTGCATAGCCTGGATAGCTAGCACTAATTGGCTTTCATCGTTTTTATGGGGCATGTTTTGTTGTTGAGGAATTTAACATTTAGTTGGGGGGTTTGGTCACCGCATCATTTTGGCGCTTTCGCTTGTTTGGCGCTTTCGCTATACATGTACGTTAGCCTTTTATAGTTATTTAAACAGCACTAATTGATTTTTAAGGCAATTAGCCTTATGGTTATTAAGATACGAAGTTTTAGCCCCTACTTTTAACCTACTTCTTAGTATCTTAATAACTATAACACTAATTGCCTCAAAAGTCAAGTATAGTACTTTAAATGCTTATAAAAGGTTAAGATTATATTTTTATAATTTATTATTTAACTGTTGTTGATATAACGTACATGTATAGCGAAAGCGCCAAACAAGCGAAAGCGCCAAAATGATGCGGTGACCAAACCCCCCAACTAAATGTTAAATTCCTCAACAACAAAACATGCCCCATAAAAACGATGAAAGCCAATTAGTGCTAGCTATCCAGGCTATGAAAAGCGACCCAAAGTTACGCCTTCGAGTTGCTGCTAGGATCTATTCTGTGGACCACCGCAAGCTAGGTCGTCGTCTAGAAGGTGTACCTTCACGACGCGATATCCAAGCCAACTCACGGAAATTAACTAACCTAGAGGAGTCCATCCTTGTTCAGTATATACTCGACCTAGCTGCCAAAGGGTTTCCTCCTCGGCTGTCTGTTGTTGAAGATATGGCAAGTCGACTACTTGCAACACGCGACGCGTCACTGTTACGACGGAACAAGAAGGCTGGCCAACTACAGGACAGGAAGGAGGGAGGTCGCATGAGACCGGCCCTGGTACCTGGAGGGGCAGCGGGGAATAGTAGTTCCGAAAGTATCACGTGACGGACTCGCAGGATGATGAGAAGAGTCCTAAGAGTCCAGGACTCCGAGGACTCGAGTGAGTTCCCAGGAGTCCACTAGGCACGTAATGGACTCGCAGGATGATGAGAAGAGTCCTAAGAGTCCAGGACTCCAAGGACTCGAGTGAGTTCCCAAGAGTCCACTAGGCACGACGCCACTATATAAGTAGATAGTATTTCCTTAGATAGGAGCTTCGTGCTCAACTCAATACAGTATTTGTTATATACTAGTAACGTGTTACTTGAAGCCTTTGTGTCTGATCCCCTGCCTCCTCTGATAAGTAAACCTTTACGCAAGAGAACCTCTGTGTCTTCTATCGTTTAGAAGTCAGCGTTACAGTCACGCGTTGGGTCGCGTTGGGCTTCAAACTTTGTTAAGCGGCGTGTAGAGCTCCAGACACGCTTTCAGCGCAAATACGACTACCAGAGGGCTAAGTGCGAAGATCCAGAAGTTATTAATGGCTGGTTTGAGCTTGTGCGTAACACAATTGCGAAATATGGTATCGATGAAGCAGATATCTACAACTTTGATGAGACTGGGTTTATGATGGGCGTTATCTCAACTGCTATGGTTGTAACAAGCTCAGACGGGCGGGCAAAAGCAAAGAAGGTACAGCCTGGTAATCGGGAATGGGTTACAGTAATCCAAGGCGTTAGTTCTCAAGGTTGGGCAGTACCACCATTTATCATTGTTGCAGGCAAAAACCACCTTACATCTTGGTATGAGAATAGTGGATTTTCAAGCGATTGGGTGATTTCTGTTACTGAAAATGGCTGGACTACAAACGAGAGAGGCATGGATTGGATTCAGCACTTTGAGAAGCATACAAAGGCCCGGAGTGTTGGTGGTTATCGCTTGTTAGTCCTTGATGGTCATGAGAGCCACCACTCAGATGAGTTTGAGGAGTACTGCAAGGAACACAACATTATTACGCTTTGTATGCCTGCTCACTCTTCTCATCTACTCCAGCCACTTGATGTTGGCTGTTTCGGCCCGTTAAAGCAGGCCTATGGTCGGCAAATTGAAGATATGATGCAGGCTCATATTTCTCATATTACAAAGGATGACTTCTTTCCTGCCTTCCACGCTGCATTTAACACTACAATGACGGAAAGTAACATTCGAGGCGGGTTCCGAGGGGCAGGGCTTCTTCCATTTGACCCTGAGAGAGTGATATCTACACTTGATCTTAAGTTAAGGACACCAACGCCTCCAAGCTCCCGCCCAGGTACTGCTCAACCTTGGGTTTCTCAGACACCAAACAACCCAATTGAAGCTATGTCACAGTCTACATTTATTAAAACTCGGATTTCACGCCATCAAAATAGCTCTCCAACCTCAATCTATGCAGCTGTTGACCAGTTTACAAAGGGTGCATCGCAAATAATGCATCAATTAGCACTGCTAAAGGCAGAGAACCAAAACCTACGACAGGCAAATGAAGTACTAAGCAAGCGCCGGAGAGCTAGGAAAACACGACTACAGCAAGGAGGATCACTTAGTCAACAAGGGGCACAAGAGCTACAGGATGAGAGGGATGTTGTGCAGCAGGTAGAGCAGGAAATAAGGGCAAGCCGTGGTCGGAAGCCAAGGGAAGAAACCCGTGCCCGTCGCTGTGGCAAGTGTGGTGAGACTGGGCACAATGCGCGCACGTGTCAGATTGTAATAGACACCTCTGAGGAAGAGGACTCCGAGTAGTTTCAATTGATTTCTAATGTTGTGGTAGATTTATCGCAATGTTTGTCGTGAGGGTAGATAATTTTGGCGCTTTCGCTTGTTTGGCGCTTTCGCTATACATGTACGTTATATAAACTATACCTTATTAGGTAATAACTAAGCCTAATAAGGTATAGATTATAGTCATGATTATAATTGATTTTATAACCCTGATTATAACTTTAAAAAATCTGTGTAAGAAGTACCTTTACATATAAAATCCAGTGCAGAGGTACAATGAACGAGGTCACCATATTAACGAGATCCCCATACACCCCACGTTATAGAAAATGCGAATATTTTGAAAGTAACAGATACAATTCGTAAATCGATCTTATTGAATTGAAGTTCATTTACTACTTTGAGCTCCCCTATCGACCAGCAATCATCAAGCATGTAGACTTTCACCGTCTCAATCATCAAACGCCACTCCAACATAAATTATCCACTCTCACTCACCCCTTAGAAAATCATAACTCCCCCGCTCACATCTTAACAATCTTCTCCATAGCCTCCAACAAAATATCCGCATGTTCCGTATCAAAGATCAACATCGGACGCAGCCTCACCGCGCTCTCTCCCGACCCTCCAATATTAACCCCCACCGTCTTCGCCTTCTTCAAGAACGCATCACGTTGCGGACTATCAAACGCAATGAACGTTCCCTGTCCCTTACCCCTCAGATTCTTAAACTGCCCCGGATACTTCGCCGCCAGCTTCTCGATACCCGCATACAAGTAATCCCCCGTCTTCGCGGTGTGCTCGACCAGGTTAAGGCGGTTGACCTCGTCAATGATACCACGGAACAGGATCGCGCGCGCTGGGTCACCCATCCAGGTGTTAAACTGGCGGTAAGGCTTGTTAGGGCGCAGCGCGTGGTTACCATAGTAGTAACCCGCCGTCTGTGCCTTCTTGGAGAACGTCACCATGTCAGGTGGCGAGGGGAGGTCCCAGTGCTCGTGGGCCCAGAACTTGCCAGTGGCACCGATACCGGTCTGTACCTCGTCAACGATGAAGAGGACGTCGTGCTTGACGGTGAGCTCGCGAAGGCCGCGGAAGAAGGCGGGCGAGGCGTGGTTATCGCCGCCTTCGGATTGGATGGGCTCGACGATGACAGCAGCGGGGGGGTGGGGGAAGGTAGTGATGAGGCGCTCGACGTCAGCGAGGGCGTCTGCCTCCGCCTTTGCGTTCTCGGAGGCATGTTCCTCGAGCGGGTATTTGAGGAGGGGGAAGGTGGCTTGGGGCCAGTCGAAGGCGGGAATGTCGAGCTTGTGGATGGGCTTGGAGCGGGTGGTGGAGAGGGTGCCGAAGAGGCGGCCGTGGAAGGCGGATTTGAAGGAGAGGATCGAGAGGTTCGAAGCGCCGGGAAGGGCGTTGTTCATGCAGGAGGAGAGCTCCTCGGCGGTGAATTCGACGTCGGGGCCGCCGCGGCGTTGTTGGGCTTTGTACATGAATGCGGCTTTGAAGGCGCACTCGTTGGCGTCGGAGCCGGCGGTTGCGGTGAAGACTTGGTCGAGGCCTTTGGGGGCGACGCTTAAGATGCCGGTCTCGAGAATCTGAGCCCAGTCGTGGGATGGGAAGTTGCCAAGCGCTGGGCGGTTGATGAGGGAGTTGATCATCTCGAGGGACTGGGCGGCTTTGGCGAGGGTTGGGTTGTTGTAACCGACTGGGATGGAGGCAATTTGAGCATAGCTGTAAACGATTAGACTCCAACTCCAACTTCTACTCAGCTATATGAAGAGAGACTTACACATCGAGGAGGACATTTCCGTCTGGGTCAACGATGTAGTTGCCCTTGCTCTTTGTGTAGTCCGCCAGCATGTTGACGGCACGGGTATCAAAGACCTTGTCGAGCTCCTTGATAGCCTGCTGTGACTTTGGGCCCGGGATCTGAGTTTTAATCTCAGGTCCCGACGGCTCACCAGCAAAGAGGGAGGCATAACTGCGGGTTTGCTGAGAGATACCTGCCTGCAACGCTGTGCGAGCAGCCGGCTGGAAACGGCCAGCAGCTCTGACTGATGCCATTTCGGATGTATAAATGAAAAAGCTAAAGAGTAGAAGTAGACTATAAGCATGATCAGTAAATTTCTTGCCTTGAAGCTTTAATTGACGTTGTTGATTGACAAAAGCTGTGGCGACCTCATGAGAAGGGTCCGAGGATGAGATGACGCACTGGGTCTCAGATGTGTTGTAGGGACGTACTGTGTAGTTTCCGACCAACTCAATTGACCGTGATGATATATCTTCTTATGCCCCTACTCTCGCAGTCATATAGAGTCAAATCCGAGATCTTGAGAGTAAAGAAGACGTGGATATATAGTAATCGCGGAGAAGAAGTGGCCATCGTCGCATCTTATACCTCGAGGGCGGTGAAGCGCAATGGAGCGGCTAGGAGAGGGGGAAGCGGGTTAGCAACCCTTGACCCCGGTCTATCCGCTGCCATTTACGCAATTCAAAGCCTCTTTCTGCCGTCCCGTGACTATTGATGGTCGACGCCAGTACCATTTCAGGAAGTCCAGCCGATGAGCTCTGATTTGATTAAGAGATAATCGTGGGTCGAATAACCCACCGCTACGTTGCATCGCCCCAGATTTCTCAACCACCCAATTTGTATTGCAATTGAACCTTGAACAATGCCACCACCTGCAACCCACGAATACGAAGAGGCTATAGCCAGGCAATTGCCTGGGCTACTGCCAATCCTGACGAGAGTGAGACTACCGCCGCACGTATTTTCCACGTGAATCCTCAAACCCTCAAATCGAGGATACGACGAAAGAAGCAACGCGACGACCGCCCTCATATAATACACGGAGGCCAGAATCGAATCCTCTCTAGGCCACAACACGAAGCTATTATTACATATGCAGACGATATGCACAGGACAGGCCTCGGGGCTACGAAACAGATGGTCTTTGCGATAATCGAATACCTAAAGGATCTAGAAGGCAGACCGCGACCGTCCTGGCGATGGTTTCAAAACTACATAAAAACAACCCCGGGTTTTCTTCATACACTAAAAACAAAGCCAATTGCACGAAACCGAGTCGGTGCACAAGATGTTAAGGATGTACAGGATTGGTTCAAGAATTGGATGACTTGGTGCGAAGCCCATGATATTCAGCCTGGTGATATTATCAATTTTGATGAAGCTGGGTTTCAAATTGGAGTAGCTTCTGGAGAAGATATTCTTGTCCCTACCTGGATAGTAGATGTATGTATATTCCAGTTATAATATAAAATATAGTAACGTACATGTATAACGAACCGGCCAAACAAACAAACCGGCCAATCCATTTTACACCTTAAATCACGAATTTCATAACTTAATATCTCAACAACCCTTTAATAATAAGTTATAAAAATATGTACTTAGCCTTTTATAAGCATTTAAAGTACTCTATTTGATTTTTAAAGCAATTAGTATTGTAGTTATTAAGATATTGAGTTTTAGCCCCCACTTTTGACCTAATTCTTAGTATCTTAATAACTACAATACTAATTGCTTTAAAAATCAAATAGAGTACTTTAAATGCTTATAAAAGGCTAAGTACATATTTTTATAACTTATTATTAAAGGGTTGTTGAGATATTAAGTTATGAAATTCGTGATTTAAGGTGTAAAATGGATTGGCCGGTTTGCTTATTTGGCCAGTTCGTTATACATGTACGTTATAGAAGATGACTTTAAAACAGAAACTTCGACCTATTTCTAAGAACCTATTTCTCATTATAAGGTAAGCTATTAACCCTCTTTAATAATTAACTTACTAATATTATATAGATTAATCCTTTAGACTATTAGAAAATGAATCAATCTCGATTTCTAATTCTAGCTACTTGTCATACTGACATTCGTTGCACTCAGTTTGCTATTAAACTCAAGAGCAAACTTAGAAATCTCCTCCTCAAACCTACAAGTCACCATACATATCTTGGCTTATCACACCAACAACAAGAGCAATACTACTCAACGATTGCTGCAAACTCTTCTACTATATCTGTTTATGCTACATACATTACGGCATATCATTTGGACACACATTGAACAAGTTATTAAGAAAATTTCCTCCATAAGGGGGTGGGCCAATACTACCACATGGCATATCTCTACCAGCTAGAGGCCTAGGAACATGAATGATAGCTCTAGAAGCTTCTACAACCCTCTATGATTCATTACACATCATCGCTCCTTAGTTACCCACAAGATTGGTTAAGTTATGACATAATTTGTCTATAGGGGTACTCTGACCTTGGACCTCCTTTCACTTCCTATAGGCTAGGAACCTAGGAGATGGTTCTATGGGATTCTCTTACGTCGACTACAGTTACCAAGCCTGGTTAAGTCATGGAAAGTCTTGGAAAATGAGAGAACTACACTCCTTTAGCATAAATAGTATTGCCCTTTCCTTAAGAAAGGGCAAGCAGACAATACAGTAAATCGACTATCACATACTTCCACGTCTTTTCCAAGCTTCCAAGCATTTATCTTGTTACTCCTTGTTTCTGAAAAGTCAGTGAGGTGCTAACCTCTGACTTATCCCTGAGTTCTCAGACTCAACATTTCTTACAACTTGTCTAAACCACTCCACTACATCATACACCTGATTGCTGGATTGTGGAATAGTCTAAGCTACGACCCTTTGGCTCTTTTTCCTAAGACAGTGTGTTGTCTTAGTAAATTCATCCCTTCCTTGGGTGGCTAGATTCTCACATCTGGTGCACCCACCATTACACTCGTCTATAGACTCTACCGCAAGGGTTGACTGGTCAGAGCCCTTATAGATATACTTGTGAATATACTTCACAGCCTGTACAGTGCTGCATACTTCAACGTTCATGTGGCAACGATATTTCTGAAGTAGAAACGGGTTGTATGGAACTACCTGTAATGGTGGGTGCACCAGATGTGAGAATCTAGCCACCCAAGGAAGGGATGAATTTACTAAGACAACACACTGTCTTAGAAAACAGAGCCAAAGGGTCGTAGCTTAGACTATTCCACAACGCATGTGTGATGTAGTGAAGTGGTTCAGACAAGTTGCAACAAATGTTGAGTCTGGGAACTCAGGGGTAAGTCAGAGGTTAACACCTCACTGACTTTTCAGAAACAAGGAGTAACAAGATGAATGCTTGGAAGCTTGGAAAAGACGTGGAAGTATGTGATAGTCGATTTACTGTATTGTCTGCTTGCCCTTTCTTAAGGAAAGGGCAATCCTATTTATGCTAAAGGAATGTAGTTCTGTCATTTTCCAAGACTTTCCATGACTTACCAGGCTTCGTAACTGTAGTCGATGTAAGAGAATCCCATAGAACCATCTCTTAGGTTCGTAGCCTATAGGAAGTAAAAGGAGGTCCAAGGTCAGAGTACCCCTATAGACAAATTATGTCATAGACAAATTATGTCATAGACAAATTATGTCATAGACAAATTATGTCATAGACAAATTATGTCATAACTTAACCAATCTTGTGGGTAACTAAAGAGTGATGACATGTAATAAATCATAGAGGTTTGTAGGAGCTTTTAGAGCTATCGTTCATGCTCCTAGGCCTCTAGTTGGTAGAGATATGTCATGCGGTAGTATGAGTGATGTCATGTAATGAATCATAGAGGGTTGTAGAGATATGCTATGTGGTAATATCGGCCCAGTAACTAAAGAGCGATGACGTGTAATGAATCATAGATGGTTGTAGCAATCGTTGAGTAGTATTGCTCTTGTTGTTGGTGTGACAAGCCAAAATATGTATAGTGACTTGTAGGTTTGAGGAGGAGATTTCCAAGTTTGCTCTTGAGTTTGATAGCAAACTGAGTGCAACAAATGTCAGTATGACAAGATTGATATATTTAGTAGTCCTACATGCCGGAAAATCGACTCTACAATACGAGGGGTCCAGAACGTCCTTCTGACTGCAGAAGTCTGGGACCGGCAGTACGAAGACCTTCATAATAGGGTTCAAAATCAACAGAAGTCTAGGATTCGAGGGAATCGGAAGGTCTTACAAAAAGGAGGGGTCCTTACAGGAACTCAGGCACGACAGATCCAGGAAAACAAGCATGAAAAGGAGCAGGTTGATAAGATCAAAAGACGACAATATCTTATACGAATTACAACAAATAAGATTAAGAAGAAGTATCATATCCAAGGGGTTGCTGCACGGAAATCAGAGAAGGAACATCAAAGGACAATTCTAAACTTCAAAGAAGCTATTCCTATTGAGCTATTCAATCCAATCCCGGACCCAGAAAAGCTTATAACTGATAAAGAGATTGATATACAGGTTAAGGAAGCTCTTATATCCCTCCCAGAATTTAATGGGGTCTCATTTGAATACGAGGAACTAGGTGCAATTGGTGTCATTGATCCAGGACTTCAGGAATTTACGTCGCAACAGGATTTCATATCATTCGAAGGCACAAATATATGGGGCCGTGATTCAATTGCGTCAGAAGACGAAGAAGATGAAGATTCAATTCAAGATGCGTTTTCATACTTGTAGTGGTAAAATATTTCCCATAGTCTACGATTCAATTGCAATACAAATTGGGTGGTTGAGAAATCTGGGGCGGTGCAACTCGCTTTCGCGATGCAACTCGCTTGCGCCCACCGCGTAGCGGTGGGTTATTCGACCCACGATTAAGACTTTTATTTCTGCTTTTGGGTCACCGGCAACCGCGACGGGCTGAATTGGCATGTCGAGACGCTTGAGGGCACCGCCGATTGAGCAAAATCATCTTGCCAGCCCTAGTCAGCCAGTACGATTACTGCACTGAACTGAACGAACGTTTTGGGGTATTTTGACTAGAATTACAACGTTATGAGGCTAAGCACCTGTGGCGTGGGCCGCCTCGAGGCCAATAACTCCCGGTGAAGGCAATCCAACATGTCTGTGTTTGTACCATGTTTATACGGGTTGGCCCTCTCGACGACCTCTTGACGATCTGCTGTCTGAGACATCTGCTGTCTGAGACGCATTTAGCACGTCGTGACGTTTTGTTCCGTTCTGTTCCGTTCCGTTCTTTCCGTTCTGTTTCGTTCTGTTCCTGAGCAAAGTCATCCATCTCACTTCCATGCCTGAGCATCGTTCTTCGACCGAGCCGCAATTGTATATCTGATCCAGAATGTCTCATCGAAGCGCGTCGTCAGAGCCAAGAAAGGCGGGGGCGGCAATGAATGGTGAGACAGACTTTGACCGAAGCTTTTGTTTATGATCGACAGGAACATAAACAATTCCGGCGTTATCGTTATCGATAGTTTCTCCCTAGCAACGGAATCAACAACAATTGTTGTTGATGCACCTGCTACCATTCCACATGCGACTTTATTGATTTCCTGCCACACCAATAACCGATAATAGGAGCAAGAGAGGAACACAAGCCTCCAATATAACTGACATATAACGTTGTCGGCTTTACGCCTATTCTCCGCTATTCTACGGCGGCGGCTTCCAACAAAATGCCCAGACGTTCTCAAAACGAAACGTTCCTGGAGCCCCCGAGGAATTGCTTCACCAACTTCAACTAACCTAACTTCACTAAACAAGCACATAAGAACACGCTACTTTACCACAACCCTGCGTTAAATGTTCTGTTAGCGAGATAGAAGATAGACTGACTTCTATAGGTGGGGGAGTGGGACGACGCGCTTTGAACTTGTCTCAGACTTTCCATACAGCCGCTGGTGGGATGGGATGGTAATATAGATGCACATCCAGCGTGAGCTAACTCTCCTTCATCCTCCTTCATCCTTCTTCATCCTCCTCACTTTCAATCGTTACTCCATCGATAATTATTTTCTTTCCATATACAAAGAGTTCTGTCAGAACTATATTCAATCGCTATCAAACATCACTATCACTTTTCTTTATCAGCCCCCCCTTGCATACAATATATATCATATCATCCCACCCTTGATTCGACAATCGCGCCAACTCCTTCAAAGGCCAACGCTCTCTCTAGAACCTCGCGACCCAAGAATTTGCGAAACCTTTACTGCGAATCGCATTAGCAAGAGAAAGATCAGCTTCTTTTCGGTTTTTAACCACCCGGAGCATATTATCCTGAATTATCGTGGCCTTTGCCTCGACACGACAGAACTGCACAAATCCGAAAACGCCTACCGACATTGCAAATCATTTCAACATTCACCGCCGGATGAGGTTTCCTGGATTATATTGACGATCTACGAGCGACCGGCTGCCGCTGCAAGAAGCCGTTGCATAACCACGGTTCCTCGCATCTTCGTTTGCTCTATCCGTTTGCAGCCCATCCTTCTTTGCAGAAAACGGACTGAACCCTGCGTCACCTCGCACCATTGCATACCGACGTGCTACCAAGACCTGCGAACGCGTCTCTTGGATTACTATAGCTCTATCAACCCCGCAAGTTCTCACACGATAACATCTAAACACAATGACGGTGCTGCGAAAGTTGGAGCCGTATATCGGCGCATTGGCCGTTGCAACTCTGGCCGCGAACCTCGCATTGACTATCGCATTTGCTATAAATCTCAGACAATTCGGGCATCCAGCTGGGGTACTGGCGTGTGCTTCAGCTGCCCTTGGTGGCCTCTCATTATGCGTCATCGTCTTTGTTGGACTCCACCGTATATATTATCAACAAAGTGCTGAACATTCGAAAGCCGCGAGTTGGCGACTTTGGAAATCAACATTGGAGGTTGCGATTATCCTAATCATTTGGAGCCTCGGCGCCATCGCGACATTTATCTGGATACTCTGCGCTCGAAAGGATGGTTTGCCTCCAAACACACTTGGCATGTCCACACAAACTCTTGTCATCATTGCTCTTATTTTATGGGCTGTTTCGGGCCTCGCGCACTCTCTATATATGATGAGCATCGCGAGTGTAGTTAGGAAAGATCTCCACGCCGCTCAAGGCGTTGTCGCTGCTGAGGAAGGACGGGCAACATCAGAGACGGCCGAGACGTCCCATCCAACAGTAGACGACTCTCAGCGCAGCAACGATGGCTCCACATACGTTGGCTCTTCGGGCTCAACCTCAACGGGCTCGATCCAGAAGCGATCAAGCTCTGAGACTAGGAGTTCTATCCGATATTCGTTCACCAATGCCATCAAGCCGATGACCTCGAAAACTCGTCTCATTGCCCACGGACAGAGCCATCGGGCTCCATCTCTCGAATCTGCTGGAGAGCGCGATTTTATTGACAGTTTCGATTCGTGGGACACTTCGGGCATTGAAGGTCCGGCATGGGAGAGCACTCTCTCTTTCGGAATCACAAACTCCAGTCCGCTCAGCGCCATCCCCCCACGCCCTCGCATCCTTGAGACCATTCCCGCCTCACCGACAGCGAGCTCTCGTTCGCAAAGCCCGGGATACACACTAGAATTCCCACCACCAAGCATCTATGCTCGCCACTCACGGAGCCAGTCGCCTGCCAGCTTTAGAGAGCTTTCCGGTAGTCACAGCCCAGTCGGGAGCGAAAAGCACATTCATCCCCTCTTCCGCTCTGATTCACCTACCCCGGCTCCATCGGCTACACCAACCAGCATCATAACCGCAGCGCCAAATGCGGGAGTGGTGATCTCTGAGATGGCTGTAGCTGTAGTGAGGGGGAAGCGAAGTAGCTCTCAGACGGGCCCAAGTCCGCTGATCCACACGACTAGCTTTGACAATATTGCGATGGAGGTGAAGAGAGAGATTGGCAAGATTACGCAAGAAGTGAGGAGGGAGAGCAGGTCACGGTCAGGCGAAGTGGATTTTAGTGAGAAGAATATGGCACCTCCGATACCTGACTGGATTCTAGGCGCGGCGCAGCGCACATCCTTTCATGGATATTCGAAGAGGAAAAGCGACAAGGGAGAAGTGACAGGCGGGGGATGAATGGGGGATTTAATGGTTAGGAGTCTGCGGTCCTACTAATGGCCTTTGTTTTCATTTGTCTGCACGTTTTTGGCATTTTTGCAGCGCGGGAAATACCACTGGTTTTCACGGGGTGTGGGTTGGGTGGGATGGGTTGATGGCTCAGGCGTTAATTTGGGGAAGCAAATTTATGAAAGGAAACAAACTAACTGAAATGTCTGTTATAATGGATACTTTGATATCTAAAGTCAGCTGAATTGAAAACAATTTAATAATTAAAATAATTAATAAATGGCCTTTTTTGCAGGGTTAGCACAAATAATCATAATAATCATGACTAACATATTCGAATAACGTGGTTGTACACCGAGTCGTGAATGTCACCGAGTCGTGAATTTTTCCCTACTTAGCTACCTACGAACTTCAACACGCGTTTCCTCCACAACTACCAATGGAAATCCAAACCCAAGAAGCGCGAATCATTCTAGCTATTGAGGCTCTTCAAACATGTAAATCGCTTAATCGCAGGTCTGCATCAATACTATATAAAGTGCCTTATTCTACGCTTACTGATAGAATGGCCGGCCGACCTTCTCGACGCGAAACCAAAGCCAATAGTCATAAATTGACTGAGCTAGAAGAGGAAGTGATTATTCGAAATATATTGGATATGGATGCAAGAGGATTTGCACCTCGGCCTGCTAGTGTGGAGGATATGGCAAATTATATCCTTGAATCGCGTGAGGGAAAGCACGTTGGGACGCGGTGGGCATATCGATTTATACAACGCCGCCCCAAGTTAAAGACGCGTTTTAATCGCGTTTATGACTTTCAAAGAGCCTTGTGCGAAGATCCTGAGCTTATTGGAGCGTGGTTTCAACTTGTGCAGAACATGAGAGCAAAGTACGGCATCCAAGACTGCGATTTCTACAACTTTGACGAGACGGGCTTCATGATGGGCGTTATTAGCTCAGCTTTAGTTGTTACGCGCGCCGATCGACGTGGCAGAGGCAAGGCAGTTCAGCCTGGCAATCGGGAATGGGCTACAGCAATTGTTTGTGTGAATGCTGAAGGCGGGAGTATCCCTCCGTTTTTAGTAGTTCAAGGGAAATGTCACCTTTCAAGTTGGTATACTGAAGGCGGCCTTCCTCACAATTGGGTAATTAAACCAACAAGCAATGGATGGACCAACAACGAGACAGGTCTAGAATGGCTTCATCATTTCGATAAACATACTTGCAGTCGTGCAAAAGGACCATATCGGATGTTGGTTTTAGACGGGCATGAAAGTCACGAATCAGCTGCGTTTCAGGAATATTGCAAAGCAAACAACATCATAACTCTCTGTCTACCTCCTCACTCGTCTCACCTAACTCAGTCACTTGATGTTGGGTGCTTTAGTGTTCTTAAACGCATGTATGGGCGTCAAATTGAGACCTTTATTAAGGCTCATATAAACCATATTACAAAGGTTGAGTTTTTTATAGCTTTCCACGCAGCTTATAACCAGTCAATAACAACTCAAAACGCCAAAGCTGGATTTCGCGGAGCTGGTTTAGTGCCCTTTGATCTGCAAGTAATCATTTCAAAGCTAGACGTCAAGTTGCGGACTCCTACACCTACAGGACCCCCCTCTATAGACGCTGATCCTTGGGTTTCTCAAACGCCTCGCAACCCAATAGATGCTCTCTCACAGACTACTCTAGTTAAAAATCGCATTGCACGGCACCAAGGAAGCTCGCCAACCCCCATTTTTGCTACTGTTACTGCATTAGCTAAAGGGACAGAGATTTTTTGGCACATGAAATGACTTTATTGTCAGCTGAAGTCCGCACCCTTCGAGCAGCAAACGAAGCTCTTAGCAAACGCCGGAGGGCTAAAAAGTCTCGTGTCCGTCAAGGGTGTGCACTTTCTGTAGGGGATGCACATGATGATTTGTCCCAAAGGGCAGTTACGGAGCAAATAAATCGCGAGAAGCGCTCTGGAGGGGTTGGTAGGAATGAGGGGCAACCAGGTGTACGACATTGTGGCACTTGCGGGGGGGCTGGCCATAATGCACGAACTTGTCAGGAGGTCATAGAAGTACTTAGCTCATCAGATTCTGAATAGTTTTAGTTTTAATACATGTTGTGGTTGTTTAATTATACCTTACAGTGGTGGGTATAAAAAAGTTTCATGACTCGGTGACATTCACGACTCGGTGTACAACCACGCAAGGCGAATGCTGCGCGGTGCAGTACCCACACTTCGAACTGGTCGGGGACCAGACGCAGTCATGGGACTGAATCCCACGGGCTTTGCCCGAAGGCAGCGCAGACAGAGCACGCGGAAGGCAACCGTAAGGGCCCCGGAGGGGGTGGGAACCGGCATCTTCGATTTTTGTAATCTGCAATTCTGTCAGCCAAGCCCAAGTTATCACCAGCACGCCAACGCGCTCCCATCACCTACTCGTTCATGCAGATTGTGTAAATACTATACAATCAGTTAGTAAACAATCAAGAAACGGACGGGGAGTGGCCACTTACTGGTCTCGGAGGGCGGTTTGTGGGCGTTGTTGTTGTTGTGAAGCAAGGAATAAAAAACGAGAAAGTGGGCGAAGCTCTGAACTCAGATTTGTCTTACAACAATGACACCCGAATCGGGTTAGCGTAGCCACCCTCCTTGTGCGATGGGGAACTTTCCACGCCTACCTGTAGGATCTCCCGGTGCTCATTCGGACCATCACCACTAAGCCAGAGATGGAACAAAGAAAACAAAAAGTAGTCGCATACCAGACGGAGCTGATACTGTAAGGGGTTATTTGGACAGCGTGCTATGACCGGTAGGTAGCAATCAATATGGTATTCCACAGACTAAACTCTGAGCCCCCTTAAAATGGGGGCTCAGCTATTGTTATATACTGCAGGCTTACGGGCGGTCCGCAACCGACCCGCCTCCGACTCGGAGGTGCCTATGTGTCTCAGCCTAATTGGTGTGGCCTGAACGTAGTGTGGCTCAGTGCCGTAACGGAGCCGAGCAGCTCTATACCCGTAGCCTGACTCGTCAGGCCTTCACCGTGCCCTCGACCGCGTTCCTTCGACACAGGCTCGACCCGACCCCGAGTCGCCCTGTACCCGTGACAGATACGGTATTACTGCCCCAGGACTATTTTTCCATCTCCCGTCACATCAGACCAATGCGGCTGTCACTAATGCGGCCACGCGCGCAAACCCTATGACAAAGAACGCCTAGCTCACAGAGGCTACCCGGATGGGTTCCGGACTATAGGTGGGCAGCGTGCTTTGCAGACAAAGCACTCTCTTAAGATGGGGGGTAAGGATGCCTCCTTACCTAGATACTCGAAGAGCCTGTCTCAGAACTGTTACGATCACTACAAGCATGAAGTCCGACTCGGTGTGGTTCTGAACCAGTAGAGGAGCACATAGCGAGTTACACTATAGTGGGGGACGGTAAGGGTGTAGGGTTCAGGGTTGATGCCGACCTATTGCAGTGGAAGGTTCAGGGCTAGGGTTGGGATAACCGAGTCGGGCCCGTTTCGGGTACTTAAGGAAACGGACTCAACGGGGTTCCCCCTTCATCTTTTTTGTATCCTTCGTAGTAGACCTATACAATAGCATCCGTTTAGCCTCCGACTCGCACTTTCATATGCTATTACTGTGAGCTGGGTGCCCTGTGTCCTTACAACTTAAGTATATCAATTTTAGGCCCAAGAGTTGGCTCGTTCATCCAGCGCTTCCATTCTGGATCTAAATCTGGCTGCCGTTGTGAGACATATAGCTCATCCTCAGAATCAGACTCTGTCTTCTTAGAATTGTCATCTTCTAATTCCACATCTTGGATACTTTCCATAACCTTTGCTGCTTGGATGTCTAATGCCTTGCCTGAATATTTATAATAACAGTCTTGCCATTGTGCTTTTGCCCGCCTTTTTCACGTGTCTTAAATGCTTTTTGGCCAAATAATATCAAATACGTTAAAGTTATAACGTGGGTCGCATATTGTAGCTATAGTTGAATGACTCCGCTGTTGATTTGTTGCAAGTGTATAATACTCATTAAGCTTTTTTAATGCTGCTAAACAAGCATCATATATTGTGCTATTCTCTGTATATCCAGCTTTAAAGACTTCAAGCTTTTGCGTCATTCTCATATACTGTATAACAGCATAATTTAAAGTAGGATAAGAAGAGCCTTGTAGCTTCTCTGTTGGGCGTATAAAGATATAGAAAAAATCTAATAACGCCTTCAACATTTGCCAATCTTATGCTGTTAAAGCTATATCTTTCATACTTAAATCAAGATGTTGAGAGGCACAGAGAGCTGTTATTGGACCTTGTAATCTTAACGCTAAATGAAGCATATAATATGTTGAGCTCCATCGTACTGGCATATCGAGGCTAAGCTGCTTAAACTCAATATTTGCAGCTTCACATTGCTTTTTTAAGGCATCCTTCCATTGTCGTCAGTTGCGAAACACATATATATGACGCCGAAGTTTGCTAAGAACAGCTACTGACTCATTTTCTGGTAGTGATGGAACTCAGGCAGCTCCATACTCAAGGCGGTATGCGTTTGGCTCATCTGCTGGTACTGCCTTTAACGATGTTAAAGCAGCTTGAACAGCAAGGTTTATAATGTGCCCAATACATCTGACATCGCCTTCTTTTGTTGTATATGCCCATGGTTGCTGTAATGTAGTTTCGTTCTTGCATGCTAAGTTCTCATATTCTGAGAGCATGGTAGTGTTTGCAGAAGCATTATCACGAGTGATAGTAAAAACTGCAGGAGTAATACCATAGTCATCTGTAACAGCTATTAACTGCCCTGCAAGATATTCACCAGAATGTATTGGCTCTTGTAGCTCAATAACATCTAAGACTGTACATCTTAACTGCCACTTATCAGACATCCAATGTGCTGTTACTGCAGCGTATTCAGAATAGTTGCGTGCAGACCAAGTATCAGTTGTTAAAGATATCCTTGTGCAGTATGCTGCTGTAATTCAAGTTGTAACCGTGCTTTATGAATGCAAAATATCTGTTGCAAGTCTCTTGCAATTGTCGTCCGTCCAATTACAAGTGTTGTTGGATTTAAATGGCTAACAAGCTGCCGGAAGGATAGACTCTCAGATGTATGCAATGGTAGGTTATTAGACACAATAAATGAGAGTAGAAGCTCTCTAAATTTTGATGAATTTGGTGCATTGCTAGGTACTTTGTGAGGCTGGAAGAATGTAGCTGTAGTTGAAGAAGAAGGCTGTGTATCTCCGTCTTGAACATGTTTTTTCTTATATTGTGCATGTATTGCTGGATGTTGTGTCTTTAAATGCTTCCAAAGATTACTCGTTGTCTGCATCTTTGTAGGTTGTGATGGTGTATATGTGCAATGTGGCTGCAAGCACTTAAATGATATTCTTAAAGGCGCATTATCAAGAATAGTATGAGAGTATAGACCCTTTGCAAAGAGGATTGAGTCAGAATCTGGTAACAGTTGGTCTTGAGGCCATACAGGCATGCGTACAAGTGGTAGGGGCAAGAGTGGATCTTGAGAGGCATTCTCATATACGCTCGGGTCGTCTAGGGGCGGCGGTGATAGCAAAGACTCGCTCATCTTGACGATGGTAAGTATCACAGTAATATTCAAGTCATTGAAAGCTTCACTTTGCCTATGCTATAATTCTGTCTACGTCCTTACCCCGCTCTCTTGGCTGTCTTGGCAACTACTCGAGTAGTTCAGATTTCTTCGAGTCAAGTACTACTCAAGTAATTCCTCGAGTAGTACTCGCAACGAGTAGTACTCGGGCAACACTGAATTTATATGTAAATACCCACATGAGTGGGATTACAAAGCTTCGTACGGAGTTATCTTGTACTGAAGTGAACATTTCTTGCTTCCATAGGTCTGTAATTTCCTTTGTGGCTGCAGCTTGAAACCCAATGCCTATGAGGGTGGTTTCTAAGCTGATTCCAGAATTTCGGAGCTGCTGGTAGGTCCGTACAGTGTATTTTGCGTTTGTGGAAATCCGTTCCTACAATGAATGCTTAATGTAGGCTTACTTTCGATTCTGGATGGGCAATGGTTGCAAGGTAGACCTCATGCCTCTGTACGGCATCCTCTGAACGTTCTGGCATCATTTCTGGAGTATGGAGCTGTCTGTCTTCCATTCCATTTTGCTGTTCCTTCTGTTGGTCATCTTGGGGTCTATCGTCTTGTGGAGGAGATAAAATTGTTGCTTCTGCATCGTACGGAGTTTGCGTTTCCTGTGGCAGCTCTGGCGATCATTCTGCCTCCTCAAATTCCTCTCCACACCTCACTGACTTTTCAGAAACAAGGAATAACAAGATCAATGCTTGGAAGCTTGGAAAAGACTTAGGAGTATATGATAGTCGATTTACTGTATTGTGTGCTTGCCCTTTCTTAAGGAAATGGCAATCCTATTTATGCCAAAGGAGTGTAGTTCTCTCCTTGTCCAAGACTTCCCATGACTAACTAGGCTTGGTAACTGTAGTTAATGAAAGAGAGTCCCATAGAACGATCTCTTAGGTTCCTAGCCTATAGGATGTGAAAGGAGGTCCAAGGTCAGAGTACCCCTATAGACAAATTATGTCATAACTTAATTATGTCATAACTTAACCAATCTTGTGGGTAACTAAAGAGCGATGACGTGTAATGAATCATAGAGGTTTGTAGAAGCTTTTAGAGCTATCGTTCATGTTCCTAGGCCTCTAGTTGGTAGAGATATGTCATGTAGTAGTATTAGCCCAGTAACTAAGGAGTGATGTCATGTATCATAGAGGGTTGTAGAGATATGCTATGTGGTAATATCAGCCTAGTAACTAAGGAGCGATGACGTGTAATGAATCATAGAGGGTTGTAGCAATCGTTGAGTAGTATTGTTCTTGTTGTTGGTGTGATAAGCCAAAATATGTATAGTGACTTGTAGGTTTGAGGAGGAGATTTCCAAGTTTGCTCTTGAGTTGATAGCAAACTGAGTGCAACGAATGTCAGTATGACACTCTAGAGGTTGGTGCAAAATGGTCCTTAAGCTTAACAAGCATTTCGTATGGAGTATTGCAGTTGTATGTATAGGGTAGGAATTCCTGTCTAATGGTTTCTTGGATCGTTAATTGGTTTCATATCCAAGGTGCATATGCAGAAGAATGACCCAATGACAAAAAATACAGCACATACCCAAGCATCCATATCCGCATACTTCCAACTCTGGGCCAACTCTGAGCTTGCTGCCAGCAAGCTTCGCCTTCTTGATGCTTTCAATAATTCTTTGCAGGTTACCCTGAAAGTCGAGGGCCCACTGGTTTAAACTCTGCATATAGTGTGTGAGCAAGGACCTTCAACGAGAGGAAACAGGGAAAGGAGCATACACATGTCGCAACAGTGATAAGGTGGCCCATCTTGCTCTTGGATCTTTTTGGGATTTGTTTGAATTGTGATGCAAGTCGTCTATGACTCCGTGGAGCATCATTTCAACTTCTTACGCCATAGAAATGGCCATGAGTCAATGTGCTCTATCATGAGAGCAGTGCCCCGCGTTCTAATCCTGGACGCCATCGACGCCCTCTACTCCGCTGTCTCAGAGGAACACAAATCAGCCATCGTGTTTGTAATGGTGGGTGCACCAGATATGAGAATCTAGCCACCCAAGGAAGGGATGAATTTACTAAGACAACACACTGTCTTAGGAAACAGAGCCAAAGGGTTGTAGCTTAGACTATTCCACAACGCAGCAATCAGGTGTATGATGTGGTGAAGTGGTTTAGACAAGTTGCAACAAATGTTGAGTCTGAGAACTCAGGGGTAAGTCAGAGGTTAGCACCTCACTGACTTTTCAAAAACAGAGAATAACAAGATCAATGCTTGGAAGCTTGGAAAAGACGTAGAAGTATGTGCTAGTCGATTTACTGTATTGCCTGCTTGCCCTTTCTTAAGGAAAGGGCAATCCTATTTATGCCAAAGGAGTGTAGTTCTCTCATTTTCCATGACTTTCCATGACTAACCAGGCTTGGTAAATGTATTAGAAATCAAGTGCGACCCACAACTAGCTTGCTAATCATGTAGTGAACGTAAGAGAATCCCATAGAACCATCTCTTGGGTTCCTAGCCTATAGGAAGTGAAAAGGAGGTCCAAGGTCAGAGTACCTATAGACAAATTATGTCATAACTTAACCAATATTGTGGGTAACTAAGGAGCGATGACGTGTAATGAATCATAGAGGGTTGTAGAAGCTTCTAGAGCTATCGTTCATGTTCCTAGGCCTCTAGTTGGTAGAGATATGCCATGTGGTAGTATTGGCCCACCCCCTTAAGGAGGAGAGTTTCTTAATAACTTGTTCAATGAGTGTCCAAATGATATGCCGTGATGTATGTAGCATAAACAGATGTAGTAGAAGAGTTTGCAGCAATCGTTGAGTAGTATTGCTTCTGTTGTTGGTGTGATAAGCCAAGATATGTATGGTGACTTGTAGGTTTGAGGAGGAGATTTCTAAGTTTGCTCTTGAGTTTGATAGCAAACTGAGTGCAACGAATGTCAGTATGACAGTGTTAACTATGGAGCCCAAGATTGCAGTGCAGTGTTCCTTGGCTGAACAGGGCAGTGGGAAGTCACGTTGTAGATAGTTATACCCTCTGCCTTGGCACTATAGCGCACGTGACAGGTCCTACACATGAGGGTACTTGTGACAATTATACCCCCTTTATGGCTCAAGCCCCTTTGAGCCCGAGATGTGAGGTCGGGCCGTATTGTAAGTTATGGGTACTGCCAAGTGGCTTCGGCACCGGCTACAGCCTGAGGAATCGGGCTAGTCTTGCCTGCGCATGTTGTGGTTGTGCTGTTTGGGTGAATTCCTCCCACTTTTGCTCCTTCCTTTCTTCCTCACAACCTCAACAACTCCGCCTCCGAGGAGCTCCTCTGAAACTCCTCAAGATCAGCCAGATGCAGAAATCGAGCATGAGACCCAAACTCGCAAAGTCTGGGTTCCTATTGCTGAACACAATCGAGTCACGAGAAGCCAAGCAAAGGATCCTGCTTCATCTCGAAATGCCATGTATGCAGAGGAAGAACAGGAATATCAAGACGAAGATTTCCAAAATGCATTTTTCACAGGCACAGAATACAACTCAGATCCGCAAACCATGGAAGAAGCACTCGCTCAATCTGATGCAGATCTCTGGCATGAGGCCATTGCCTCTGAATATCAATCCATTACTCGTAAGAAAGTGTGGAAAGTCATGCATAAAAGCAAAGTTCCAAAAGGGAAAAAGGTCCTTGGTGGACGCCTTGTTTTGCGCACTAAAAGAGATTGAGATGGCAAAATCCTTCGCCGCAAGGCTCGATGGGTCGTAAAGGGCTATGAGCAGAGATATGGAAAGGATTATGAGCAGACCTTTGCAGGAGTTTGCAAATCAGCCACATGGAAAATCGCCGTTGCCCTCGCTGCACGTTTCGATCTTGAGATTGAACAGATGGATGTTGACACTGCATTCCTTGAAAATGATATTGATGCAGAGGTATATGTCGAATTGCCTCCTGGATGGTGTGAGAATGGTGTCAAGCTTTCAAAGGAGGATATCATGCGCGCTTTACAGTCTCAAGCAGTCACCACGTCTCTGGCAGAAAAAGCTTCGCAAAGCACTCCAATCTCTTGGATTTGAACCACTCGAAACAGACCAATGCATCTTCATCAACAAGGACACAAAGATCATCATTGTCACTTATGTTGATGACTGCCTCATTATTGGCAAAGATAACGAGGACTTAAGTAAGTGGAAATATGAGTTGCAGACAAAGTTCACAATTGAAGAACTCAGTCTTGCACAATACTTCCTTGGATTCCGCATTCATTGAGATAGAAAGAAGCGAGAGATCTACCTTGGGCAGGATGCATATACTCAAAAGATCCTCAGCCGTTTTGGAATGACGAATTGCCACACGGTGAAGACGCCTTGTGCCCAAGGATGGGAAATTCTCATGACTCCGTACAAAGACAAAGCTACAGCTCACGAAATCAAGCTGTATCAGTCTATGGTTGGATCTCTAATGTATCTAGCCACGAACACTCGACCGGATATCAACTATTGCACGTCCGTTCTATCTCGTTTTCTCGCAAACCCCTCGCCACAGCATATTGCAGCTGCTTGTCACTGTCTGCAGTATCTTGCAGGCTCTATTCATCTGTGCATCTGTTATGGAGGCGATTGGAAGGATGATGAGGCTATGAAATTAAGAGGATACGTCGATGCAGACTTCGCAGGCGACAGAAGCGAGCGCAAGTCTCACACAGGATGCGTCTACCTTTTCTGTGGAGGCGTCATTGTGAGCATTTCAAAGAGACAGCCAACCGTTGCAGTTGCGACTACTGAAGCTGAATACGTGGCTATGTTTAAGGCTGCACAGGAAGGAGCATGGCTTCGACAGGTATTCAAGGAGCTTGGATATAAGAAGAAGGATGCACTCGCAACGGAAATCATCAGCGACAACCAAGGAGCTCTTGCACTTGCAGAGAATCCAGAGTTTCATCAGCGAACGAAGCACATCGACATCAAATACCACTACATCCGAAATCAAGTGAAGGAAAACCTTGTTGATCTATATTATGTGTATATGAAGGAGATGGCTGCAGATGGACTGACGAAGCCACTATCAACGATGGATCATCAGAGATTCATTGAGCTGATCAAGCTTAAACAGCTTCCAAAGATGGACTGATTATAGGTTACGGATGAAGAACTAGGGGTGCTACTAACTGTTGATATGTTTTCTACAATATCACCAGAGGGGTGTGTTGCAGGAATCGGGGTTCAGAGCCACGGGAGCCACTGGCGTGGCACCCACCCACATATATAGTTCTCAGTAGTTGTAACCTATATACTTCAACTAATCAACAACTTGTCTACCACCAACACTTCCAATGACCTCCAGTGACTATGTGTTACAATCACTGTACCTGACCAAACCGAGAATGTCGAGGAGGATGAGAACCCAGAAGAAGTATATGAATGCATTATAGTTGAATACTAAAGTAATAATACTGTACTTTTCGCTTTCTTCGTGGTCGGTCTTCCCCCACTATCCCGTTTACGCCATTTTCACCGTTACGCCACGACTTACGTTAGGGTTGGAGGCTTCAGATAGTCTAGGGGAACCAGTAGTCTAGGTTCCCCACGACGCACCCTAATCGCAACTTCAAACCTAATTACTCCACTACACCACAACAAAAAGATGCCTTAGAAATGAATGAAAGCTGAGTTTTACTAGCCATTTAAGCTACCAAATCACCCCACAAACTGTCCATCTAACGTGCTACGCAGCTATATGAGGTCCTACATGTAACACTTACCTGTCGCATACACAGAAGCCAACCACAAGCTGGTAGACGTAGTAAACAACGTCCATTGACCCTAATTGAGGAAGAGGAGCTCATATAATACGTACTTGACCTAACTCACGACAGCAGTCGGAGCTTACCGCCTTCGTGAACCCGTTCCTGCTCGACCAGGACGTGATTACCACGGTATTTAACAACGGTGGGGGGTTCACGTTTGATAAGTCGAAGTGGATTGACTGGACTACCCCGACATTGACGTGAGTTTGCCTCCGGGTTTGTAGAACGAGAGTCATGGCGTTGCTGTGTATGCCTGGTCGAGACAGCTTTAGTGATATCCATACCATTAGTAAAGTTATTTATAATGCTTTACCCCCCAAGCAAGACTATCCTCCGTCGCCCCAGCACAACCGTTTTACTAGTAAATACAATGCCAATCCCATATTTCGACCCCCGCCCATATCAGAACCCATTCCCCATTGACAACGTCACACCATAACCTATACCAGTATACCTCCCACCATAAAAATCAGATGGCATGCCACCATAACCACCGCTACCACCCAACGCCGTAAATCAAAATCATACAACCTCACCGCCCATAACCTCCACTGTAAACTAATACACCACTGACCATTCACCATGCGTATCCATCCCCCGCACCACCTTCATTCGTCCCATCCCAATCTTCATCACCTTCCGGCTCGCTGTCCAGGAAATCTTCCTCTCGAAACTGCTTCTCCGTCGGCCTCAGATTATCAATCTTGAAATCAACAACCTCGCACATGCCCTGAATCACCTCCCGTTTCGGTATCTCTTTCTCTTTCTCTTTCTCCTTACCACTGTCGCTGCCCCTCTTTCGGTGCACCAGCGGCGCATCATCCGAATCAGAAGCATCACTCGTGAGAGATGGGAGACGCGACGAGGGAGTCGGCGCTTTGGGTCCGTGGAAGCCGGCGGTGCTGCGGAGGGCAGCGAGCTCGCGCGCGGCATGGTGAGATTTAGGATTTAGTGCAGGTGATTGCCCTGCAGGTGGCGTGACTTCAGGTTCGGAGGAGGATTCCCTGTAGCACAGCCGTTCAAGGACTCGGCGGCGTTTTGGAGGAGGATTGGCCGAGCGTAGAGTTCGCCTCTTAGGCTCTTCATCCTCGTCAAATATTGTCGTCGACCGGGGTTTTCGGGTTGATCGAGACATAGGAAGGTCATCGTCGCTTAGGTCTATGATTTGGGGTCTAGGTTTTGGTGGTTCCGCCAATTGCTTTTTATGCGCTGCGTACGCGCCCATTGACCTGAGATGGGGATTCGGCGGTGCAGGTTTCCGTTTGAAAACACGTTCAAAGGCCTTCTGCCACCTGTCGCGGAACCCTCCGCGGTCTCGCCAGCTGATGGTATCCAATATGGCCTTGATCACCAGGGTACGGAGGTGAGGAAGCGTCCCGGCACTATCAAGCAAGCTGCGGAAAAAGACCTCGGCAGCATCGACGTCCCATTTCCGTAGTTGGATCAGTTCAAGCGTCTGGAGTGTCGTTGGCCATGTAGGAACCTCGTTCTCGCGCAGTAACTGGTCAAAGAAGGGCTCCGAATCTTTGAAGGTCGCGTGGAGGTTGTAGTATGTCAGGTTCATCTGAAAGCTGACAAGGTGCGGACATGCACTTCCTAATATGGTAAAAAACGATATGCTTAGTGACTGGTTGTGGCTGAGAGTGAGAGTCCGAAGCTGTCTCCCATGCGTCACCAAAAATTTGGCCAGATCATCCGATGCTAGCTCGCTGCAGGCAATAATGTCCAGATGTTTCAGGTTGCTTGGAAGGCTAAGAAGCAGCTCGTGATTGAGCAGAGGGCTTGCTTCAAAAATGACATGTTCTAGGTTGGGAAGATGTGATATTGCTTCGGCGAGTCGTTTCACGTGCTCTGGCGCCACGAATTCTGCAGTGATCTTCTTTGGGCGAACTGGGGCTTGGTAGTTGATGAATGCTACCTTCCGCAAACCCATGAAACAAGGCGTCTGATGCAGCTCTATGATTCTTCTCAAATCGTACTCCGGATTGGGGTGCTTGCTGACCATCCTCGAGCTCCAGCGCCAGCTTTGAAGGCGAGTCGGAACGCCATCGATGTTCTTGGCCAATGCCTCGAAGAGTTGGGGTGGATAGCTCCATTTTATTGTCTCATCTAGCTCCCGATATGGAGAGAAGTCTTTTTGATGGTATAATTCGAGGTCGACAAGACGCGGGGTGTGGAAAACAAGCCCATACAGGTCCAGAACCCCACAGCCAGTCAACGTATAAGCTGCTGTTTGAAGAACCTCGACCTGTAGTTTCTCGACTTTCGAACGATAATTGTACAGCATATTTGATTGGTCGGATTTTAACAAGTCGCAGAGGGTGTGAGCTCGATCCATCGGCGTCAAACAAGGCGAGCGATATAGTATGGTAAGGGCGGGCTCTGAGAACGAACGACATAACTTGGAGGTCTGCAATAGCCATTGCCAATTAGCCGTCTGGTTGAAAGTGCGTACATCTACAAGCGGATAAGACGCATAGTAGAAGATCTGAAGAAGTATTTGGTATGGTAGCGTCTGCCAGGGAGGCATGACACCGGCGCTGTATCGATCGACGTCAACCACGGGCTTCGGCTTTGGTATAGTCTTCTTTATGGCCGAGGTTCGAGAGGCAGACTGTAGACGGCGCTTCTTGGGAGATTGTTCGTCCAATATTTGTTCGTCCGAGTCCGACTCGTCCCGCGCTCCCCGCTGGCGGCGGGGTCTCGCAGAAGCCGCATTTGACGAGGTTTTCGCACGCTTCGCTCGAGAAGGTTCGTAGTCAGCACCTTTATCTACCTCATCGGCGCTGTCTGATGAAGATTCGCGATAGCAAATGCGGTGTCCAGCGTGCCTTGAGGAAATTGTCGATGCGACGGATTGAGGCTGCCGCCTAGCCCTCTGCGCCATAGCGAGTTGCGTCTACCCTCTGGGCTTGGGCTTGGGCTTGGACAAAATGGAGTGGATATCTTTGATTCAGGCCTCAAGCCGCGAACAAGCATGAGAAGTGGCAAAGTTGTACGGTGTGGTGGTGGGCGATATATTTCCAGAGAATGCATCATGGAGATTTGGCTGTGATGTACGATAAGATAAGATGAACGATCTTATCTTATCGCTACTAGTGTCCAAACGACGACGAATAGTGTGACTGTCACCTGACAATCCTCTGGTACATGATTGTCACAAGTAGCCTCACGTGCAAGACCTGTCACGTGCGATATAGTGCCAAGGCGGAGGGTCTTCCCTCCGAACCCCACACAGGAACATATATAGTAGGAACGCGGCCCTTAATCGGAAGGGCAGCGTTCAGTCTTCGTATCAATAGAGAGCTTGGCTACATAACTATCTACAACGTGACTTCCCACTGCCCTGTTCAGCCAAGGCTCTTTTACATTCTGAACACCACACCATTCCTACGATTGGGAAGAACAGCCCAGAGGGGGAAGTCAAGTAAGTGGAAAACCATGCCGCCACGTCAGACCTGTAGGGAAGTGGCTGCGAGCCTTGAGCGTGAGCGTAGCGGAGTGGCTGCGCTTGAGAACGCACCTGAGGAGTCAGGGGCATCAAGCTCCTTATCCCAGGCTCACAGCTCCCCTGGAGTAGAAGCCCAGCTTGCTACGGCCCTCGCCCTCGAAGCTGAGTTACAGCGAGAACTTGAGCTGAGAGAGGCGGGCGAGCGAATCCGTCGACTACAGGAACGCCTAGAGCGCGTAGGACAAGAGGAGGCTTCTCCCCACACTCTTAGGTCGGACGAACGAAGCGTTATGACTACTGTAAGCTCTACTTCGCATGCTGGGGTACTGTCATACTGACATTCGTTGCACTCAGTTTGCTATCAAACTCAAGAGCAAACTTGGAAATCTCCTCCTCAAACCTACAAGTCACTATACATATTTTGGCTTATCACACCAACAACAAGAGCAATACTACTCAACGATTGCTACAACCATCTATGATTCATTACACGTCATCGCTCCTTAGTTACTGGGCCGATATTACCACATAGCATATCTCTACAACCCTCTATGATTCATTACATGACATCACTCATACTACCACATGACATATCTCTACCAACTAGAGGCCTAGGAGCATGAACGATAGCTCTAAAAGCTCCTACGAACCTCTATGATTCATTACATGTCATCGCTCTTTAGTTACCCACAAGATTGGTTAAGTTATGACATAATTTGTCTATGACATAATTTGTCTATGACATAATTTGTCTATAGGGGTACTCTGACCTTGGACCTCCTTTTACTTCCTATAGGCTACGAACCTAAGAGATGGTTCAATGGGATTCTCTTATGTCGACTACAGTTACCAAGCCTGGTAAGTCATGGAAAGTCTTGGAAAATGAAAGAACTACACTCCTTTAGCATAAATAGGATTGCCCTTTCCTTAAGAAAGGGCAAGCAGACAATACAGTAAATCGACTATCACATACTTCCACGTCTTTTCCAAGCTTCCAAGCATTCATCTTGTTACTCCTTGTTTCTGAAAAGTCAGTGAGGTGTTAACCTCTGACTTACCCCTGAGTTCCCAGACTCAACATTTGTTGCAACTTCTCTGAACCACTTCACTACATCACACACCTGATTGCTGCGTTGTGGAATAGTCTAAGCTATGACCCTTTGGCTCTTTTTCCTAAGTTGTCTTAGTAAATTCATCCCTTCCTTGGGTGGCTAGATTCTCACATCTGGTGCACCCACCATTACAGGTACCACGAAGCCTAAGGTCAAGGGCGATACCTGAATACTGAGGGAAGAACGTCCGCGAACATAATGAATTCATTACGAGCTGTGAGCTCGCCTTCCGCCTTGAACCACTAGCTAGGACAGACGAGTTCTGTCATACTGACATTCGTTGTGGTCAGTTTGCTATCAAACTCAAGAGCAAACTTAGAAATCTCCTCCTCAAACCTACAAGTCACTATACATATTTTGGCTTGTCACACCAACAACAAGAGCAATACTACTCAACGATTGCTACAACCCTCTATGATTCATTACACATCATTGCTCCTTAGTTACTGGGCCGATATGACCACATAGCATATCTCTACAACCCTCTATGATTCATTACATGACACACTCCTTAGTTACTGGGCTAATACTACACATGACATATGTCTATCAACTAGAGGCCTAGGAACATGAACGATAGCTCCAAAAGCTTCTACAACCCTCTATGATTGATTACACGTCATCGCTCCTTAGTTACCCACAAGATTGGTTAAGTTATGACATAATTTGTCTATAGGGGTACTCTGACCTTGGACCTCCTTTTACTTCCTATAGGCTAGGAACCTATGAGATGGTTCTATGGGATTCTCTTACGTCGACTACAGTCACCAAGCCTGGTTAGTCATGGAAAGTATTGGAAAATGAGAGAACTACACTCCTTTAGCATAAATAGGATTGCCCTTTCCTTAAGAAAGGGCAAGCAGACAATACAGTAAATCGACTATCACATACTTCCACATCTTTTCCAAGCTTCCAAGCATTCATCTTGTTACTCCTTGTTTCTGAAAAGTCAGTGAGGTGCTAACCTCTGACTTATCCCTGAGTTCTCAGACTCAACATTGGTTACAACTTGTCTAAACCACTCCACTACATCATACACCTGATTGCTGTGTTGTGGAATAGTCTAAGCTATGACCCTTTGGCTCTGTTTCCTAAGACAGTGTGTTGTCTTAGTAAAATAATCCCTTCCTTGGGTGGCTAGAATCTCACATCTGGTTCACCCACCATTACAAGTTCCGCTGCGACTTTGCAGCTACGTGGCTTGAGGGGGAACCCCGAGACGCTTGGCTCCGGCACAAAAAGGAGCCTAACTTTCAGAAGACCTGGAAGGAATTCAAGAGGTTCCTCCTTTATCTAGTCCAGGACCCAGTGAATAGGACCATATCAACAGCGATCAAGTACGAGGAGGCGAGGCAACGAAGCGGCCAGTCGGCTCAAGCCTTCGCCACCTACCTTGAAACGTTAGAGGCGGAATTGCCTGCATATAGTGAGGAGCACAGGGTGCAACACCTTCTTATGAAGTTACGCCCTGAAGTCCAGAGGAAGGTCCTCCAGTATACAGAGATCCCGCGGTCCCGGGGCGCACTCATTGTGCTAACTGGCTGTTTCGAGCAGACTGAGGCTGCGCGCCCCCGGGAAAGCGCGGGGAAGAGGGAGGAAAAACCGCAGGGGAAGTGTGACAGGTCCTACAAGAGGTTGGCAGAGGGTTCAGGTGAGAACCGTGGTGCCTCAAGGCCCTTCCCGAAGCATGCCCGCCTTTCTGACGCGGAAGAGCTGCGTTGAAGGGAGAATAACCTATCTTTTACTTGCGGTAAGAAGGCCACAGAGCAGCTCAGTGCTTCACTAAGCAAGCTGAGAGCAGCTCCCGAGTCCGGGCTGTACACTCAGAAGGACCCCTAGGGTCAAAAAACTAGATTCCTCCACTGAAGCCCCATCAGTTGGAGTTGAAGAGAGGGGCGCATCAAGCCTGTTCACGTACGTAGATGTGAAGGGAGCAGTCGCATGGCGGATGCTCCATGCCCTCGTTGATAGCGGCACAACAGAGAATTTAATGTCCCACCTTATCGCAAAGGAAATTGGGGGCAATTGGGAGCCAAACTTTACGATGGCAAAGGGGGTGGGCGAGCAGGAAATACCCTTGTTTGGGAAGGCCCAGCTTACCCTCCGTGTTAAGGACGATGAGGATGTAATCCGAGAAGGAGAACACTCCTTCGTCACAACAGTCCTTGAGAAATATGACCTCATGCTTGGGTATCTGTGGCTGTACTGCGAGAATCCCATGATAGACTGGAGGGAGGGAACCTGGAGGTTCCCTGTAGAAGACATTCAATATTTCTCACACAGGGAAGTGGAAGGGTTATGAGACCGTAACGAACCCGTATATGTGGCTATGCTACACCGAATCGCAGAGGACGACAGTGAACCACAGACGCAAGAAGTGCCAGGGGAATATGAGTCCTTCACAGATGTTTTTGACGACGTAGGGGCTGCGTCGCTGCCAGAATACTCAAAGCGTAAGGAACACGCAATTGATATTGAGCCAGGGAAGCAACCCCCCTGGGGTCCAATATACAGCTTATCCGCAAAGGAGCTGTCTATCCTCCGCGTCTACATTGAAGATTCATTGCAAAGAGGCTGGATTCGACACTCTACAAGCCCAGCCAGTGCCCCAATCCTCTTTGTACCAAAGCCAGATGGCTCAAAGCGATTGTGTGTCGATTATCGGGGTCTTAACGCAATGACTATTAAGAATCGGCACCCAATACCCCTCATATCAGAGATCCTCGATCGGCTAAGTGGTGCGGTGGTGTTCACAAAGCTTGATGCAAAGGATGCGTACCAGGGATGAGGATCCGCAAGGCTGACTAGTGGAAGACAGCTTTCCGAACAAGGTACGGCCTTTTCGAGTATCTAGTGATGCCATTTGGGTTGTGCAACGCCCCCGCCTAATTTCAGGCATATATTAATGAGGCACTTGCAGGACTTGTGGACGTCTTGTGTATTGTGTACCTTGACGATGTGTTGATCTACTCGAAGCACAAGAAGGATCATACGCAACACGTCCGCACTGTCCTCGAACGCCTTCAGAAGTTTAACATCTACTGCAACTTGAAGAAGTGCAAGTTCTCAACTACAGAAATAGAATTCCTTGGGTTCATTGTCTTTACTAAGGGGGTATCAATGGACGCCTCATGGGTAGAAACCATCACGGAGTGGCCAAAGCCTACAAGCTTCTGAGACCTTCAGGTTTTCCTTGGATTTGCGAACTTCTATCGGAGGTTTATCGAGGGGTATTGGTGAGTATCGCAACCCCTCACAGGGCTGCTAAAAGGCAGTGAGAAGGGAAAGAAAGTTGGCCTGTTCATATGGAACGGTGAGGCAGCGGAAGCTTTTCGGACGCTAAAGTTAGCCTTCACGTCTGCTCCACTCCTCTGCCACTTTGACCCAGAGCAGCCTATTAGGCTAGAGATGGACAGTTCAGGAATGGCTATTGCAGCAATCCTAACCAGGTACGATGTCCATGACATAGAGCTCCTCGCCATTGTGGCAGCCTTTAAGCATTGGCGCCACTACATGCAGGATAGCAATTTTCCAGTGACAGTAAGGACTGATCACAACAATTTGGTCTACTTCATGAAGAAAGTATTGATCAATAACCGGCAGGCTCACTGGATCAAGTTCCTTGCAGGTTTCGATTTCTAGATTGAACATAGGCCTGGCCATACAAACCCTGCAGACGGTCTGAGTCGTAGACCTCGACCGCCAACACCAGGCGTATCAGGGACTGCGCTCTACACTACAGCAGAAGCTGTCAGTGGGGTTGAGTGAGGCTGTTAGAAACAGTGAGAGCGATGCATCGCAGCAGAATACTCGAGTCCGCGCAGTCTTTGCAAAAGCAAGTCAGCGAACGGAAACCAAAGATATCCTCTACGAGGTAGAAACATTTATGCTACCCTTCTGCGGAAGAAGCGCAGGTCAGCCACAGGCTCTTCTATCCCGTTGCCGGGCAGTGCTTGGAGTGGTAGGAGAAGGCCCATACGAAGAGCCTTCAGTCGACCTCTGCAAGATCATCACCCAGTTACAGAACGGTGATCCGTTTATTGGGAACCGAGTCCAGAGGATAGAAAAGGGGCATCCTCGCCATAATGGCATAGAGAGAGAGTGGGTGTTACACCCCGAAAGCGGGGTCTTGTACCAAGATGGCAAGATCCCGGTACCAAGAGACCCTGCTCTCATAGAAGAGCTGCTACGGATACACCATGACGACCCGCTAGCTGGACACTTTGGTGTAACTAAAATGCTTGAGCTACTACAGCGTAAGTACAAGTGGACAGGGATAAATAAGGATGTGAAGGAGTATGTCAAAACCTGCCAAATATGCCAGAGAATGGTAACGAAGCGCCACCGCCCATATGGCGAACTAGAACCGCTCCCACTACCAAGTGGCCCTGGAAAGAAGATCACTATGGATTTTATTACCGGTTTACCCCCAAGCCTACACCCAATAACAAAGAAGGTGTACGACTCTATACTTGTAGTAGTAGACCGATATAGTAAGTACGCTATCTACGTTGCAACAAACAAGACAATTACCGCCCACGATTTGGCACTGTTAATCGTCCGCTATGTCATTCCTGAGTTCGGGTTCCCAGAAGGAATTGTGTCAGATCAAGGATCTGTATTCACAAGCAATTACTGGGCAGCACTCTGCTTTTACTTGCGAATATGGTGACACTTGAGCACCGCCTTCCACCCGCAGACAGACTGATAAACCAAGAGGCAGAACCAAACAATTGAGCAATACCTATGGTTCTACATTACGAGCCTCCAAGATGATTGGGTAGTGTTACTACCACTCGCCCAATTCACGTATAACAATTCACTTCACTCTACAATTAAGACCTCCCCTTTCCAGGCCTTAAAAGGATTCAACCCACGGATAGGAGACGTGAGTGTCGTGGACGCCCCTCAGAAGGGGGATGCACCCGAAGTAAGGGAGCGGGTGATACAGCTTCAGGTTGAGCGGGAAGCATTAGCTCTACACTGGTTTAAAGTGACCCAGGCGCAGACCAAGCAGCATAACATGAGAAGACAACCCATAGAGTACAGTATGGGGGACCAAGTGCTATTATCAACAAGGAACCTAAGGTTGCGACGGCCAAATAGGAAGCTCTCAGAACAGCGTGTAGGGCCATTTAAGATTGTAGAGATTATTGGGAAGCAGGCGTACCAGCTTCAGCTTCCTATAGAAATGGGGGTCCACCCAACGTTTCACGTGTCCTTACTCGAGCCGTATCATGAGAGATGGCAGGGAGGCAAGGGGGACACAGTCACAGCACAACAGGCAGCAGGATCGTCATAAAAAGCGTCAATTCACATAATGCCATGCCTTCTTTAGGGCTATTTCCTCGAATCTATAAGTATAGAGGGGGCGCAGAATAGTGTAAGGATGCCTCCTTACCTAGATACTCGAAGAACCTGTCTCAGAACTGTTACGGTCACTACAAGCATGAAATCCGATTCGGTGTGGTTTCGAACCAGTAGAGGAGCACATAGCGAGTTACACTATAGTGGGGGATGGTAAGGGTGTAGGGTTCAGGGTCGATGCTGACCTGTTGCGGTGGAAGGATCAGGGCTAGGGTTGGGATAACTGAGTCGGGCCTGTTTCGGGTACTCAAGGAAACAGACTCAACGGGGTTCCCCCTTCATCTTTTTTGTATCCTTCGTAGTAGACCTATAGGATAGCATCCGTTTAGCCTCCGACTCACACTCTCATATGCTATTACTGTGAGCTGGGTGCCCTGTGTCCTTACAAATAGGGCATGTGTAGGGTGAGCGGGGCTCACACGGCACCGTCAGCTTCGCCAGCCGCGAGCTCAACAACCTTATCATCGTCGTCAAGGAGAGTGTCCTCATCCTCCGCAGCACCACCACCAAGGGCACACTCAAGGTCAGAGTCACCGTCGTCCTCGCCAGGGTAAGCCTCAGATTCAGGCTTGCTCTCACTGCTCTCATATTCGTGGCAGTCGACGATGGTTGGGTTGTGAGGGTGCTACAAATGTTAATAGAGGAACGGAAGAAAGGCAGAAGGTAATCGTACCAGGGCCTTAACCAGGTCGTTGCTATGGCGCAAGGTACGCTGAATGCCGTGCAGAGTGTCACAAATCCCAAGGAGACCAGCAGGGTCAATGACCGCCTTCTTGTGAGGAGGCATCGCGATGGCAGCAAGAGCAAGGTTGGTGGGGGTTGAACCTCAAGATTAGTAGTATCAGAAAGAAGAGTTCCGGAGTGCACTCACAATGGAAGCTTTATTCATTGAGACAGAAGGTGGAGGGTATCGCAGTTCATCCATTTCTTCCACTGCGTTGTTGTGGGCTGGTTGGACATTTTCATCACTGATTTGGTCAAATGTTGGCTCTGTAATGAAACCACTGCCTTCATCAAATTGAGCATGCGAAGTTCTTATAATCTTCTCTCCAGCTCGAGAGGGGACGTAAACTCGAAAAATGTTATGACCCTGTAAGGATGCCTCCGTACCTAGATACTCGAAGAACCTGTCTCAGAACTGTTCCGGTCACTACAAGCATGGAATCCGACTCGGTGGGGTTTCAAACCAGTAGAGGAGCATACAGCGAGTTACACTATAGTGGGGGACGGTAAGTGTATAGGGTTCAGGGCCGATGCAGACCTGTTGCGGTGGAAGGTTCAGGGCTAGGGTTGGGATAACCGAGTCGGGCCCGTATCGGGTACTTAAGGAAACAGACTCAACGGGGTTCCCCCCTCATCTTTTTTGTATCCTTCGTAGTAGACCTATAGGATAGCATCCGTTTAGCCTCCGACTCGCACTCTCATATGCTATTACTGTGAGCTGGGTGCCCTGTGTCCTTACAGACCCTCATATCCAACGAGAATGCCGACTTCTGCCCTTGAGGCAAGCTTCTGGCTTTGCACTCTGCGTTCCTTTTGGATAATAACATACGTCTTGCATCCTAGAACTCGCAAGTGGGCGATGTTAGGTGTGTGATTCACCCCTGGTTCAATTTCGTCCCAAAATGCTTCAAATGGTGTCTTCCCATCAATGGTTGAAGTGGCTACTCTGTTTGAGATGTAAATGGCAGCTTGAAACAGCTCTGGCGATAGGAATTCAGGAATTCACTGATCGATTGCAGCAGATCAATTGCAGCGGATCGAACACGTTCAAAAATGGTGCGAAAGCTTCGTTCGGCTGTGCCGTCTTGATATGCGCAAAATGGAGTGGACAGCTCAATGATGGTTCCGAGATCTGCTGTAAGCTCATCGATCTGGGTAGGAGCATATTCCTTACCTCCATCCATTCTGAATCTCTTAATTGTGATGTTGTATTGCGTCTTTGCAAGTCGAATCATCCAGACAATGCATTTGTACGCGTCACCCTTATTCTTAAAGGTCCATCCATAGCGGACACTGTACTTTCCACAAGTAAACAGTATGCCATACTTCTCTCCGTGGAGTCCGTGAGGTGTGACAGTAACAACATCACAATTAACTTCTTCAAGAGCTGTTTTCGGTCTTAGTCGAGCTGAAATTTTGTTCACTCGACGGATTGGCTTTGCCTCTTTGCATGGCTGGCACAACCTCGTCGCAATGGCAGTGCCTTCTTTGCTATATGAGATCCCATTTACCATGTCTTTGGTCTTGCGGACGTTATCGAGTCCAAGATGACAGAGGCGTCGATGCCAAAGTTCAATGTCTGTGTTCTTCTGCTCAATCGCAGCAGGTAAAATCAAGGGCAGGATAAGTGATTCCTTTGCTTCCATTTTGAATTCGTAAAGGAACAGATCTGAGTCAACTGTGCCCATCTCATTGCCATGGTTATCGAGAAGCTGGCCATTCTGTAGATGACCTCCGCTGCTATAAAGCTTCTTTCCGCTAAACAGGCAAACTGGTGAGGAAGGCATATAGATGACATGATGGAGGGTAATTTGGGTCTTCTCTCTGTTTCCCTTTACTCCAAAAAGTCGAACTGAGCCACAGCCTTGAGGACGAACAAGTCCATTTGCTCTATTCATGAATGGTAAATCCATGCGCTCTTCATAAGTGTCAAACTTCTCAAGACTGTTTGCAATGTGCTCATTTGCTCCTGTATCGAATAACCACCTATCTCTGCTTATAGTGTTCGATTTGGCAGGCATTGAGAAAGCTACGAGGTCGAAATAGTTCTTAGAGTCATTGCCCTCATCTTTGGTTTCATTTTTCTTTTTCTCAATATGCTTCCTATATGGGGTCCATTTCTTCCCATTCTTCCGCTCCCACTGATCACGCTTCTCCTTGTTATTTTCGAGACAGTCTTGAGGTGAGTGTCAAGGTTTCGGCATTGTGCAATGTGGGCAAGATGGTCGATCTCCATTCTTCTTGTCCTTGCTTGGGTTTTTGCCCTTACCCGTTCCTTGAGATTTGTTTCCGTACAAGGCATTCGAGCCTGTAGGAGTCGATTTCGATCTCACCTCATCTGTGAGGTCATCAATAAGAGAGTCGAGAGTGATGCGGTGATCTGGAGACTGAAGGAGTGATCTTTGGCATTCTGCCCAAGTTGACCACTTGTTCGCACAAGAAGCTATAAACATAACAGGAAGCCAATCATCATGAGGAGGGCATTGTAGACTCTCAAGTTTGTCGATAGGTTCATGGACAGCGATAATAAATGTGTCAAGCGAAGAGAAATTCTCGTACTTGAGGTGAACATAATCCTGAATTGCATTGTACTTCAGGACTGAACCTGAGCCTTCGTATTGCTGTTGTAGGGCTCTCCACATCTCAAGCGCTGTGTCCTTTGCAGACGCCACTTTTCCTGGAATCGTCTTGCAGTTATATTGGATCGCGAGCTGCATCTGAGCGTTGCCCTTCTCCCAAGCTTCATACTTCCTGAGCTTGTCTCCATCTGTGGCCTCATCGTAGTCCTCATGGAATTCATCGATGTATTCTGGCCTCTTGCATCTATCATTGATATATTTCGCCAGTCCGTTGCCTCGGGCGATGTTAACGATAAGTTCCTTCCAGTTGGTGTAATTCTCTTCACCCTTGAGCTTCAAATGCTCTGGAAGATGCAGCGAAGTCGTATTCAGACTCACCATAGTTGTAGAAGACATATTGGCTATTGGTGTAGTTGCAGTCGTGTTCGAAATTCAGTTTGAGATGAAGTTGGGAGTTGATCTGTCGCGTCTTCAAAGATCTCGGAAAGTTGTTCTCGCTCGAGCGCAGAGGACATAAAGTGAAATAAACAGTGTGGATATAACTCAAAGAAAGAGAGCCACAATCCTCTTCAGCGTACTTCAAAACTGTTTGAGGTTGAGGTTGTGGTGCTGTAACAAAAACACTGACTTCAGCGAGTCTGTTGACGGATTGGTGAATTGGACTGCACAAATCAACACTCAATGATAATTCTGATCTTGTAAATACCTTGGAGGTCATTGGAAGTGTTGGTGGTAGACAAGTTGTTGATTAGTTGAAGTATATAGGTTACAACTACTGAGAACTATATATGTGGGTGGGTGCCACGCCAGTCGCTTCCGTGGCTCTGAACCCTGATTCCTGCAACAGTGATATTTGTCGCTGTACTCTTGCCTTTGGTAGTCACTTTCTGGGTGGCCTCCTCAGCCTCAATGACTTGGGAGCGTAATTCCTCTGTAGTTATGTGGAATTGGCCCTTTAAAATTGCACGTTTCCCTTTGCTCTGTGCTCTCCGTGTTTGTATTATTGATCGTAGGTTATCTGCCTCGCGTTGGTGTAAGAAGTTGCGTGTATTAAGTCACTCAGTCTCATCAGCCAACCGACGGATATATCGAGTAGTGGGTGTGTTTAGGACTGTACGCGTCTCTAAGGCCACAACCAGGACAGTGTTCGCTTTGCGCAATGTAGAACAGTCGGGTGGACTACTGTTCTGAAAGACAGTGTCAAAAATATCGTACTCAGTTGGTGTTTTAGTCGATCATCTGTCCCATCTGTCTGTTGGAGCGTCACCATCCGGATCACCCGTTGAGGTTGGAAAGGTTGTAGACCAGTACGCAGATGTAATATTATGAGTAGATAGCGCAATTGCTCTCACTTTGATGTATGCAGATAACCATTCTGCTTTTTGTATGCGTGTAAGTTGCGCTTCATTCAAATGTGAGAGCGCACTTGTGAGATGTTTTTTGAATGGTCCGAAGACTGCAACATCGAGTGGTTGCAACACATGCGAAGTATGCGGTGGGAGGACAAGGATAGATATTCGATTTTGCATACAATGGGATATAAAGCCTCCACTTATATGACTGTCGTGGCCATCGCATATGAGTAACCATTGTTGTTGTGCTATTAGATGTCTCTTTCGCATGCGTTGCTGGTTCAAATACGCGTTTTAACCACTCGATGCCATGTAAGTTGCTTGTCCAACGCTTTCTATTAGCAGAGAAGTGCCATTTATCGATAACCTCAGGAGGGATCCAGTTTTGTAAGACGTTCCGACCCTTGAATATAATAAGAGGGTTAATGGTCGTTCCATCCATACAGATGCATTGAACAGCAGACACCCATTCCTGCCGGCCTTGGTGTGCCTGGTGACATGTACGGAGTGTAGAATCAACGATGATCAGAGTACACTCAATAGTGCCAATCGAAAATCCAGTTTCATCCATGTTATACACGTTGTATTCTTGTATTCCTAAACGTGCCACAAGGTCCTTATACGTGTCAAACCACCCCGTTAACACATCTTTTGTAACTCCACTCATTTTTTGTGCTTCGACCCGTCTGCCTAGTTGGATTTGTAAATGTGGTTGTCGTTTTATAAACCGTGGGACCCAGTCTTGTCCAAGGGGAAAGTTTGGAATCTCTTCGTGATGCGTGTGTTGGGCATGTTGACTGTTAGGGTGCGATAGTTCGAAAACGTGGCATCGGTTGACACAGATTTCGTCAGCAATATCCCGCAATATACGGTGACTAGGAGCATATCCACTAATTGTTAGCACCTTAATCCACTTTAAAAGTGTCTGCTCTTGCGCTGGCGATAGCAGTTGTTGTTGTTGTCAAGCTTCTCTCCATGACAGTTTCCCATTAACACGTTGAAGGACTGTGTCTGGCCAAAGGTGTAAAGCCTTTGCAGCACAGTACGTGTAAGGACACAGGGCACCCAGCTCACAGTAATAGCATACGAGAGTGTGAGTCGGAGGCTAAACGGATGCTATCCTATAGGTCTAC